GGAAAAGGTATCGGGCAAGGAGCATCAAGACACACTTACCAGCATGAGCAACCTCGCGAGGCGGCGATCCGGGACCACGACGCCCACCTTGTCATACTCTTTTATACACCTCGCGGAGGACTACGATTCAGGGCGGGATTCTAACCGTGAACAGGACAGCGACGACTATGGCCACTCAGTAAACCCGCCTCCGGAGGCGCCGGCTCCTGCGTCCGCAGCAGAACCGGTCAACGTCGTCGACTTCTGGGGCAACAACCCCGCGCCAACCGCCTCTAGTTTATCCCTGCCCCCAGGGTTCGAACAATCAAACGCCAACACAAACTTAGCAGACAGCACGGACGACTCGGAAACCAGCGACCTCGAAAGCGTCATGTCAGAGGCCCCCTCCATTGCGTCGCCCCGGGGCGTAGTCGAACTGCCCGTGGGCATCCGGCTTGCCACGATCCATGAGCTCAAAGCTTTGTTCTTGACGAATGAATCACTCAGCCCTCTCTACGATATCGCCATGTCTAAGGTTGGCCCTGACGGACTCCAGAGAAACCTTGGACGTCTCCTCGTGCGATACGGACGCGCACTCAGCGCCGAGGCAACCGATCCGCCGCAGTACAAAGCGGCGAAATTTGTTTGTCAATTTGCTCAACGGCTGTCCCTGGAGATCACAGACGTCGTTGAGTACAGGTGGGAACTGCGATCCGAAAAGGAGCCGCTCAGCGCAAAGGCATTAGGGGACGACTTCAACAATATCCAAGACCTCGACGACTTGGATGATGAGGAACATGATGAATTAGACCATGACCCCGAGGTACCCTCGATCCAGACACTTGACAACCTATGGGCAGTCAAGGATTTCATGATTTCGTCAAAGGCCTTCCGCAAACTCTGCCAGTCGTTGAGAGTATGGCTTGGTGTGGAAACACCCCACGAACAAGCTGAGATGGCAGACATCGTAGTCCACGGAGCGGAAGCACAAGCGAGCAGCCCAGTCGATATCTCCGTTGGAAGATCAGACCAGCAGAGTGCCGGGCCACAAGAAAGAACCCCAGGAATTACGGTCTCTGAAAACACACCCACCGCGTTTTTGGAGAGGATGGGCGAGATGGTAGGCCAAAAGGTATCAGAGTCGCGTTTCGAACCTGCTATCCCGATCTTAATAGGCGAAACATCTCTGGGAGCGGATCTTCGGGTCGATACAGCATCCTCGTTCTCTGCCGTGAAGATCGCATCGAAGCGCTTCTGGTGTACACTCACTGGCTTATGGCAGTCGAGGCTCCCAACTGATCAGGTTCGGATCTCATGGACGTGTGTAAGTTCATGCCGGGCAAGCGATCCAGACATTTCATAACAGCAGCTGACTTCATTCCTTCACAGCGATGTGGCGACACTCTACGCATTCAAGTCCCTGAAGCTCAGCAAATGGCTGCAATAGCCTTCGCCAAAAAAGCAGCTAACCCAAACTCGAGCACAATCACTTCCCGGTCCTCAAGTAGGACAGAACATATACCATTACAAACTCTCGTGCCAACAGCCACAAATACATCCCCTCAAACCCCAAACCTAACACCCTCCTCCAGCAGCGCCATCTCAGCTACCACAGAAACAACTCCCGACTCCTCCTCCACGTCCGCCACCTCGCAGTCCGCCAACTCCCGCCGCTCCTCGCCCAACACCACCCCCTCCGACACCGAAGCCACCCAGCCCGAACCCTTCCTCCCCGCTGGAACCGAAAAATACCTCCTTCTGTGCGTCAACACTTTCAGCCGCCACGGCATACCGTTCCGCAAGCTCGCCAATGTCAACATCACGGACGTCAACTGCTCCTCCGAGCTCTTCTCCCGGCTGCGCAGCGCATACTACTCCCTCCGCCCGCGCCAGAATCCCTTCCTCGTCCCAAAAACAATGCACTACATCAAATTCCAGCTGCTTTTTCTCCAGAAATCAGGTGAATGCGTTGGTTCGTACGAAGTCGATTCCATCCCTTCCATTAAGGAGGTTCTGAATCAAGAATACGCATTTTCCCCTTGCCCGCCGCGAATCGGCAAGCTCCCACTGCCCCCTGACATATTTATGCATGCGTTCCTGGACCCTGGGGATCATCTCGGGCCTATGGCGGTGGACATACTGCCGAAGAAGCTGTGGTGCCAGTTGAGATGGGATGCGGGAGCGAATGGGAGGTGGAATGTACCGGAAGGGTGGGGTTTTTATATTGTTCAGGGTGTTAATTGGGGACTGGTGTCGTGGTGTGCGGGCGCGGCATTGGTGGTGGTGACGGGGCTGACGGTAGTGTGGTCGGTGGTGGTGGGAGACGTACAGGGAGGGACGGGTCTGGGGCAGTATTGTCTTGCGGTGTTGACGCTGGGGGTGTCGGTGTGGTTGTTGAGGGATAAGGGGAGTGATGCAGTTGCAGGGTTGTCAGGAGAGCGCTTCAGTTGATGGGCTATAGAGGTATTTGGATACCCATAACTTTAGATATCTTCAGTTAGGATTCACCTACAGAGGTAGGTATGAACAGAGCCTGATGTGCTCTGCTGAACAACCGATAGGTATAACATAGTCTCTGGATAAGATGAATGGCAGTCTCCGTGACTCGTCGATGGTCGCTTTGAGACTTTCATTATGTGCCTATTTTCATTATTCTAGCGACTTGAACTGCTGATCCGAGGGGAAACCATATGAAATTCCTCGGGCTGGGAGTCATGACCACATTAACCATCCTTAGGAGTTCTTGCCGTCTACTTGCATGCCAAAAAGAATCCTCCAATCCCGGATTCCCGGGTTGCTTCCGCGTTCTGGCCTACCTTAACCATGCCGTCATAACCGGGTAAGCCCATCACCCGCCCACCCTTTTTAGGCGTGCTAGGTTACTCCTGCACCCCGCCGGGCGCAATCGAGTTGACCGGGCCAGTCGCCACAACCAACTCCAAATCCACAAGCCGGTAATCCCACGCCGTCAAGTTCGCCATGTTACCCGCCGACGGCTTGACATACCACGGTACCCACTTGTCGATACCCGCCGTTGTCGTCTCCTTGACGACAATCCACCTCCACTCGCTGTTTGCGTCGCCGCTGTAGCGCAGCAGCACCCTCTCATCGGCCGCGCGAAGCACATTCCACTCGAGATAGCGGAACCCGGGCCCTTCGTCATTCGGGCGGTAGCTCTGCACCAGTCGGTAGGCATCACTAACCTCATCCAGGTTGCTCAGGCCGTAGTACCCCGGAACCGGGGGCGGGTGCGGGTTGGTGGGAACCACGTAGAGCACCGACGGCGTTGAGGCGTTGATGTAGATGCGGCTGAAGTGGTCGGCCGGGTTGTACGGCGCGGGCGTGACGCCGGGTGAGAAGTATGGATATGAGATGTTACCCCGCAGCCGCTGGCCGTGGGTGACGTCGCTGCCGCCAATGTAGCGGAAGAAGTAGTCTGTTGCCTGCGCTGAGGCGAGGACGGCGGCGCCGAGGAGAGTGGTGATGGCGGAGACCTTCATGGTTTCTTTTTGGGGCCCTCGAGTGATTGGTGCTCACGGGGTGCGAGAAGTTGATCAACTGGAAGGTGCGCACGCCACTCCACAAGCACAGCAGGCGAGAAGCACTGTTTAAGTATTGTCCCAGATATTGATACTCGGCGGCCAATGTCACGCCAGGGTACGTCGTTGAGTGCACAAATCTCGTATTCTGTTGTAGGAATGCTTTCTCTCGTATTCGCCCTATTATTGAGCCACATCCAACGTTCAAAGGTTGGTTGCACCACTCACGCCACCCGCATGCGGCACAACTTGCATGCCGTTGGGATCCTGACTGTCCATTTTAGCTCTGGATTTTGTTGAGTGCCGAAGGCTAGGCCTTTTTAGGCTTCAAATCCCCAGTTTAGCCCTTGTCCATGGACCGCTCCTACAGCATCCAACGGCGCTCCTCAAAATCCCTCTGCTGCTGTTAGCTAAGCCATGCCGAAATCCGTCCTAAACCAACGTCGCTTCATACTAGCGTAAGCTCGGAATAGTCCTCCCGAGCCAACAAGCAAATATATACAAAGTGTCTTGTCAAAAAGGCAGATAGGAGCACGGCCAGCGCGGCAGATTGAAAAGTCCATCATGCCTAGTGGTGTGCTGACGGCCGCCCGATTGATTGTTGTGCAAACTGGAGATGAGGCAGCCCGCCAGCTGACTTGGATAAGCTGGATTGGGCGAGGCGCAAGACGGGTCCGCGTAAAGCGCAGTTGCGATGGTCAGTTGGTGTGCTTCGGCCGTGACGACGCTGATGGCATTATATTGATACGTAGGTCTAAGTTATGTACTTTGCGTGCTCTGTGGGGTTCGCCAAGTCCAGGGTGAGCGATCAAGGGCAATCTTAGCTGTGCCTGAGAGTGGTGTGTCTTACAGTCAGAGACTCGCAGGGCTGTGGACGATACGGATAACGTTAGGGCGATTGAGATTTAAAGAGCTGGATAGAGAAGGGTTAGGGTTATGCCTCACTCTTGCGCGCCCTGCAGCTGTTAAAGTGATTGGACTGAAACCACCTGGTGGAACCTGTTGGCTCGAGGTTAATTGTATCCACTCAGGGGCAACTATCACCTGAATCATGAATGCAAGGTCGAGCCCACAGGTGTCTGCGCGGTAAGCGTTGATTGACTCTCTTGACCGGTAAACGTTCTTACTAGTAGAATATGCGTTCGAATTAAGTTAATCCGTATACAAGAGAGGTTAGCGAGCTCAATCTACTCATATGTATTGTACATCCAATACATGCCAAATCGACTGCAAGCCACCGATGCGCTCGCTGCGCCATGGATACCTAGAGTAGGCAGCAGCCAAACGCCAATGCGGTTGAAACACAGCCCTCGCTGTTTTGGGCCTCTTGGCTTCAGTTGGGTGAGGGAGCCATCGCCAGAAGCCAACTTTAATATTTTGAATAATGTACTCAACTGTTCCTTCCCTTGCACCGTTAACAGCCGAGATCTTTTCCAAAGTGGTACTAACTTGCATGGAAAGTCATCAATCATGGCAGGTGCGGACTACCCATACAAACGGCTCAACCTGCCTACTGAAACCCGAGTCCTGATCGTGTCGCCCGGTCAGTTTGACGACCCTCTCATTGGCAGCCTGTCGCATACATCGATCGCCTCGCCCGACGAGCCTTATGAGGCGCTAAGCTACTGCTGGAACAGCAGCGTCAACACGGAGCACAAAGTAGATCCTGACACGTTGATCCCTTTCAGTCTTTATGGCCATGATGACGACGGCAATCTTGTCGACGAAGGCGGCTCGATCGCTTTCAAGGACATGGTTGACGATCCTCGGATTCACCTTAGGGCCTTCTATATACGCCTTGGCGGGAAAGTTCCGGACGGCCTAATGCTGCTAGACGATGAGCCTGTGACCATCGGCGGCGAGTTGTACAGAGCCCTGCGCCATCTCCGCGACGAGAAAAGCCCCCTGCGTATCTGGGTGGACGCCCTGTGCATAAACCAGCAGGACCTGTCGGAGCGGAACGAACACGTCAAGATTATGGGCCAAATCTACGCCAACGCCTCCCAGGTGAGGATATGGCTGGGTGACGAGATCGGCATCGAAATGGAAGTCATCGATATGCTGCATGGGCTGCACGAGTTCTTCCACGACTTGTTTGTCGTGAAGGGTATGGCCCCCAATGGTTCGACTATAAAAGAAGTCCTATTGCCCTTTGTTAAGTCGCCAGAGATGCAACGGCTGCAATGGGAGAAGATAGCCGAGTTTGTAGATCGCGCTTGGGTAGGTGGGCACTAAGTTGCATGTGCGGGAAGATGCCCTGTCTTGATGAATTCGAGACTGACGAGAGGTTGAAGTTTCATCGCACTTGGGTCATCCAGGAGATTGCCAACGCCCGGAAGGCTATCGTTCACATAGGCCGCTGGGTCCTGCCTTGGGAGGCTCTCGCCCAAGTGATCTCGACGCTCAGGAAATACCATCTCGATGCCCCAATCAACATGCACAGAGGCCTCAAAGCCATCATCATGATGGACTGGCTCCGACAGGAGCGACTTGTCCAACAACTCCCGCACTCGACCATGGACCTGCTCACCCTAGCCGAGGAGCTCCGCGACTTTCAAAGCACCCTTCCCAGCGACAAGATCTACGGAATCCTCGGCCTCACTTCCTCTAAAGACGACCTCACCGTGGACTACTCGCTTACCCCGGAGCAAATGTTCACCTCGTTTGCCATTTGGCACCTGAAAACGTCCCCGAAACCCCTGGACATTCTCACGCATTGCGTCGACGTCCCCTCCAAGCCCCGCGTGCTTGACCTGCCGTCTTGGGTGCCCGACTGGACGCGAGCTGGCCACGTAGAACCATTCCGTGTGCGTGGACTGCGCTGCAACGCCTGCGGGAACGGCCGCTACGCCAAGCCCTCGTTCCAAATAGACGCTAGAGGAGACCCGCGGTCGCTGCACATCCGCGGCCGCATCCTCGATCGCATTGCCGCCGTTGAGACGGTGCTCGCCATCCCTGCTCCAAAGGAATCGCCGGGCTTGCCGTTCATGGCGCCATTCGGCGTCCCCGCAGTCCCCGGTGGGGAGGGTGAAGACCAGAATGAGCTTGAGGATGAGGGGGATGATGAGGATGAGGGTGGGAATGGTGAAGACGATAATGACTGGGAGGATGTGGATGAAGACGAGGAAGTGGATGTGCAAGAACCTCACCTGCCCGGGCTCAAACCCAAACCCATCTTCGACCCGGCGCAGCGCAACAGTCTGCGCATGAAGGCCCGCGTAGATAACATGATCGCGTCGTTCTGCAACATGTTGCACATCGCCGACCCAGCACTGGCCCAGGTCCTAGCGGCCGATCCATCGCCCCCGGACTCCAACGAGGAGATGTGGCCAACCTACGAGGCTCTCTGGCGCAGCTATATGTGCAACCGTAAACGGGACAACGGGGTTCCCGGCCCTGAGTGCGCCGATGGATTCGGCGTTCTGGTGGAGATGCGGCTGACCGACAAAACCGAGGAAGAGATCCTCGGGGAGCGGATGCACCACATGATGGCGATGCACGGGCTGCCCAAGGAGGTGGCTGATGAATTCCGTGACAAGCTGAGAACGGCATACGACACTGTTCTCTGGGCGAATTCGAAGTGGTGTAACAATCGAAGGTTCTTCAAGTCCGAGGGAGGAAGGTTTGGATGGGCGGTGGACGGCGTGCGGGAGGGAGACGTGGTGGTGGGGTTTGATGGCGGTGAGTATCTGTTTGTTTTGAGGGAGGTGGATGGTCAGCAAGGCAGGTGGAGGATTATCGGGGATTGCTGGCTGGGTGGGTTTGAGGATGGCCAGGGGTTTGCGGAGGAGGGGGTTAGCAATAGTTTAGGGGACGGGGAGAGGGCTACAATGTTTAATATTATCTAGATGGCATTCACATTGCCGAGTTCCATTTATGTCCATTTATATACTACACCAATACGCTTTACTCTCACTTCAGTTACCACGACCTAAAGGCTAAGTCAATCGTACTACTAGGTAGTCAGTTAATCTCCAGATTGTTTGTGAACTTTAATGCCTGTCGAAAGATATCTAGTATTCCATTTGCCCATGTCATCTAATAGCCCTATTATTATCCGGCTGTCGTAGTCGGAGCAGCGCTACCTGTCGTCGCGCTCACGGTCGACGTTGGCTGTGCGGAGCCAGAACTGGAGCTCGACGATCCTCCTCCATTATCCTTCCCAATGACCACAGCCTGCACCACCTGACCCAGCGTATTAAAGATGATGTTCACCAAGCTCCCCAGCGGGTCATAGCGATACGTCTTCTGAGTCAATCCGTTCCCAAGCTCCTTGGAGATCCCCGTGTAGGTCATGTTCTTCTGGTAATTGCCCACGATGGTGCTGACAACCTCCCCGCCCGTTTCCACAACCTCCTGAACAATATTACCCAAGTTATCAATCAGGAAGTTCAGCTTCACATCCCCATTCAAAATACTGCCTAGCAACCCATCCACGGCACCCACAACACTATCAACCACGTCACTAACATCGTTCAGGAGGTTGATGAGCAGCGGGTTGAGGTTGAGCGTCGCGAGCGTGCGGTTGACCATCTCGGCCAGGTGGCCCAGCCGGATAACCAGGTCCAGCTGGGCGTCGACGTCGGCGATGGTGATGTTGACCTTGTTGACGCCGACTTGCACGCCCACGTTAAGCGAGACCAGGTTGGCGATCTCGGCGTTGAGGTTGAGGTCCGCCCGCAGGTCGTCCACGTCGAGCTCGATCCGCCCCACGTGCAGCTCCGGCACGCGCAGGAGCACGTCTGGTGGAGAGGTGCCTGTGGGAAGAGGTGGGAGTGTGCCGCCTCCGGTGCGAGTGGAAGAGCGGGTGCTTGGTGATGAGGAGCCTGTGCTGGATTCAGCTGGGGTCGTCGGTGTTGAGGTACCAGGCGGTGCGGATGAGGACGGGGTGTCTGTTGGGGTTGGCGAGGGTGTTGGCGATGTTGTTTGCGCTGCTGCCGATACCGCTAGCAGCAATAGGCAGAACCCCCCCAACAGGGGTCGGGCGCTTGGTCTCCTCATGGCAACTGATTCTTGAACCCGGGGCCTTGAAAGAATGACTTTACAGCAGCCTTGAAGACCGCCAGCTCTGGATGCAAGAGGTATGAAACCCCTCGAGGGCGACGACTCGGAGGCAGAAAGGGGGGGAGGACACTCAGCTGCCTCGCGAATCGGGAGTATAACAAGCCAGTGATGAAGACAAGACTGCTTTGCAGGATGCCATTTCCATGGTCGGCTTCCTGGCCAATTCTTATTGGGTTTGCTACGGCATATCTCCTCCACCTTGATTTCTCGTGCCAGCCCTTGGACGCGTCGTCGCATTCATGGTCCGGCCGGCCAAGGACGCTCTGGGTGTGGACACCATGATCCTGGCAGCGAACCATTCGACGCGCTTTTCCCGATGGTTGCTGCAACGCTGCACAGGGGGCAGTGGTGTCGCATGCCGCCAGTCTGCCAGGGGTTGGCCATGCTTCTGGTTCTTGCATTGATTCTGTTATTATTCTTGGCATCGCAATGCCGCTAAAACCAAGTCTTGCCTTGGAAGTACCCCAGTTGATATCAGGCACGCCAAGCTTAATGCTACTGTGAACCAGAATACTGGATGTCTTGGACCTGATACCATTTGAGCCAGCACCAGTCCTTCAAGGATGTGTTGCACACATCGGACCTCCGGCCTACTCGTCAGCAACATCAAGGAAATCAGGGTTGGTAACCATCGGAAGGCTCATGCATGTGAGCATTTGCCTTTGCCCATAGCCCAACCTCTCCCCGTTACCTTCGGGGTCTCTTCTTTATGATTGAGCCTAGTCGGACTACGGGAAAACCAACCTGAAGATGAAGTGCACAATCTCTGCGATAATTCCCCTAGTCCTCTGGATTGCGTCCGCGTCTGCGGCAGACGGAGACGATGGCTACTTTGGCTACCGCCTGGACAAACGCGGCGACCCCGAGTCCGCCATCTATGAAACGGCAAACACCGATCCTGGCGTCGTCCTCAGCGAGGTCCCGGACGTCTACCTCAACGCCTCGGTGAGCGTTGGCATTATAGACATCGAAGTCGACAACATCACAGCCAAAGTCAATCTCGATGCGCAAGTCCTCAAACTCCTGCGCATCAACGCCGGCGTCGACGCAAGCATCGACCGCGTCAAACTGACCATCGAGAACGTGAGCGCCAAGGTCGAACTTGAAGCGCGGCTGGGCAACGTCGTGCGCATGGTAGACGACGTGCTGACCAGCATCGACCTGAACCCCATCATTGCGACCCTGGGACAGGAGGTGGCCGAGATAGTCAACAACACGCTCGGCGACATCGGCGACACGCTCGGCGGGGGCGGCGGCAGCGGCAGCAACTCCTCGGCAGCCAACGCCAAGCGCTCATCGGAACTGCCCTTCACTATCGAGCACAACGTGCTCTACAGCGTCAACGACTATCAAGGCAACGCCCATCGCAACCGGGTACTGGCGCAAAACGGGGACCTGGTCGACGAGTATCTCGACAATGACGGGAACGAGCAGCGCCGCGAGGTCGTCGGCTACTACGACCGCGACATGACCTTTAACGGACACAACAAGACCATTGAGGTAGACGGCGAGGTGCGCGAGTACGAGCTGCAGTATGTCTATAATCCCTTCCCGGGGATTGAGGTTACCAGTTGGATCTACACGGATACGGCTGGCAAGGTGACAAGGACTCAGGTCATTGCTGAGGCGCAGGGAGGGGGGACGAGTACGATTAGTAATGATTCGGATTTGTAGTGTAAGGAGCTGGAGGTGGGTTGGTGCTGTTGCGGGCTATAGGTGGTTAGGTAGCGAGTAGTGTCCGGTGCTAGGTGTATAGGGATGAATCCAACCGAATTACCAGGTAGACTGGAATGGGTATATTGTTAGTATCCCACAATACCGAGAGACCAGGTGCTAGTATCTATCATCCTACACAAGAAGCACAGCTATACACCCAACAAGAACCAGCTCTATAATCCAGTCAGCACCCCGGTCGTAGAGCAATCTCCGCTGGTGGATTTGAAGCCACGCCGACGTACCTATTAAGATGTATATATAGCGAGACACCATCCGAGTCGTGGAGCTCTTGGCAATAGACAGGTCTCCTGCTCTCACGCTCCGCGGTCTCGGCATTATCTCCATTACCACTTCCACCAGGAGCAACAACACCATTGCAGCTAGCCGCAGGGCAGTTCTTGTGCGCATCGGGAGGTTCATTATTCTGTCCTTGAAACTTGGAGGAGGGTTTCGTAGTAGGTGGGCCGTTTGTAAGAGGTCTAGGAGGTGGGCTTGAGAGGGAGGTCGTAGGTGGTTGATGATGTCTTCTAGAGATATGCGGCAAGCGAGGATATGTTCAGGAGGTTGGTTAGGGGCGGGATCAGGTTCGTCAAGAGCGAGAGAGAGGCGAAGCTTTAGGGTCTTGTACCGGGATTGGAAAGACTGGATGTAGGTAACGGGTTGCCGTAGAGGGCTCGAAGGGGGCGTGCCGATGCTTGGTGTCTCGCCGCCTGCCGATGAATATATTCCCTTTTCATGCATTTTGATAAGCCCCAATGCGGCGGCGGCATCTTGCTCTTTTCGACGCGCTTCGGCGTGGGTTTGTAAAATTTCTTGGATGAGGTGGTAGTCGAAGGGGTGCTTTGGTGGGGAGCTTGGTGGGAGGACTTCGGCGAAGCAGCGAAGAAGCCCCAGGTAGTTGGCCGGGATGTCACCTTCCTGGGCCTCTGAGAAGTTCTCCATCATCAAGACGGCAAAGCCGGGGTCAGCGCCTCCCACCTCTAGACAGGTGGATATCACATGCCAATTTCCCTCTCGAAAAGTTGACATGGGATCAGCGGTACGACCTGCATCTTTGAAACCCGTATGAGGAGTTGCGATAGAGGTGCTGTCGAGGTCGAATCCGCGCTGCTCGCAGAACAGCTCGAAAAGGTAATTATGCCACACGGTGCCGATGTCTGCAATAGGTTGGTTCTGATACCACGAGGGAGACATAGCCAGATTGACCGACACGCCGTGACGGAGGAGCGACTTAAGTGTGAGAATTCGCGAGCTAGAAGGGCTGCACAGAAGTCCGTCCATGACGTTGGCGAGGGTATACGATGCAAAGAAGCCCTTGCGATCGAAGGAGTTGGCCATGCGGCCCAGTCGCCAGGTGACATACTCGTGGAGACCGAGAAAAGCTGCGATACTGAGGACACCGAAGGCGTACCGGGAGTATGTTGCAATGTGCGAAGGTCCTCTGCGCAAGGACTCTTGAAAGTAGGGCTCCCGAACCATGGCCCAGAGGTAGTCTGGTGGTTCGGAGATGGACCACTGGGCGAGGCTGGTTTCAGTCTCTAATGCATCGAGAATGGAGAAGGTTGCCTCCTGGTTTGAAAGATCGGCCTGTCGTAGGCGGCTCATGATATAGCCGAAGCGTGTCATGGTTGGGGTGCAGTTTCGGAGCCAGGGGTGTGTCACTGAGGGCTGGGAAAAAGGGGTCTCCTCATTGCAGTTGGTATATTCTGACATATGGATCTGTGCTCGACGCTTACGGTAGTCGGATATGAGGTTAGCATCTTGGATCGGTTCCTCTGCGACTGAAATCAGTCTTGAGAGTGTAGGATTGTGGTGCGGTCCGGCGGACGCCCAAAATATAGCTTCGCGGAACTCTGACGCTGTGAGTGAGTAATTGGAACGCCCCTCGTCAACATCAACACCACGGTCAGAACGAAATAGAGCTTCGAGGTACTCTGATGCTGTGAGTGGATATTTGGAACGCCCCTCGCTAACACCATCATCAGAATGATAATACCATGACGGCAATCCACGTCTCCCCAATCCAAGGCTCCATGACGGAACACCTTGTAAATGTTGTAATTGTTGCTCTGTCAATGGTAAACTGCAGCCCAGGATGGGGTATCGGTCTGTCGAGGCGAATTCGATCCCTGAGTCGGCTTCATAAGTTTCAGGTCCCTGTTCTCCGTGGTCTATGGAAAGAAGGCTGCCGTTTGACGTAGCAGTGGTCCGGGATAGCGAACAGGACCGGGCGTAAGTCCCTTCACCTACTACAGCCCCTCTGCTAGACCACGTCGATGCAGGATTCGCATTAAAATAGTCTTCCGACATCGCATATGCCGCGCCAGTCTCGCCGTGATTGAACCAGTTAGAGACGCCTCTGTTGTGGCTGTAGCAGTCGCCTGTTTCCCAAGCGATATCCGAAGATTGAACGCTTTCATCATTAAAACAGTCGTGGCCAGAGGCGTTGCCTTTCCAATCAAGCAAATGGTACATGCGGCCTTCGTGCATGAACTCACACGGCATGGTCAATGGACGGGACAAACTGCTCTCCAGTTCGGCGACAAAGTTCTGGACACGATCGAGCTCTTCCTCCCCAGGGGTGTTGTTTCCAAGGTTGTCTCCGTCTTTGTCGTCGTCTTCGTCCTTGCGAATACTCGGTACTGCTTCCTCAATCTCCTTCAACTCCACCTTTTTCTTTGGTCGTGCCTCCCCCTCCCACATCGCATTGAGATCATAGATTCCCAGGTACTTCACCTCCGCTAGCAACATCCAAACCAAGATCTGGCCAACTCTCTCATCACTCATCCCATACTCGTGCAACCTCGCACCGAGATACTCCTGCAGATATTCAGGTATGGTGCGGTGGATGAATTTGACAGAATTCATCTCGTCAACGTCCAAAAGCCCTTTACACCGTCCCCTGACTTGAACCGCAGTCACTTTCAGTTTCTCCCTCATCTCTTCGCGGGTGTCGGATAGCTTCTCCTCCGGCCAACATGTTGCTGCGTCCACCCGCTGCTTTCCGTCCAGCGCCCAGAACAGGAACGAGGTACCCAGCAATGATACGTACGAGATGCCCGGGAGTTCTCGCGGGTGCAGATTTGGCGTCTGAGCAAGAAGGTCTGACGAGCCGTTTGGGCTCGAAAGAAGACTCCCGGCCATGCGCATGACCAGTGCGAAGAGATAGTACGCGCTCTGGCGATGTTGAGGGTCGATGCTATCCAGTATCGTCTTGAAGAACGCGTTGAGCTGTTGCGGCGTTGTTGCCACTCGGCTTTGCAGCAAGGAAAGAGGGTCGCTGTTGGAGAGTCCGTCTTCCAGGGACCGCAAGATCAAAGTGACCCAGAGGAATACACCTTCGGCGTCGTTTACGACTTCATCTATAAGCCGCTGGCACCCAACTGGGTCGGTGATCTGGAGCTTTTGGAAGTTCTCATGGTTGTTGAGGGTGTTGGTGACTAGCTTGGAGATGTCGTTGCGGGTGAGATCGTGAAGGCTCATTTTGTGAAATTCGGACGATGCCATGCCCTCGAACACGGGCCACAGTCTGCTGGAAACGCAGATCTTGAGGGTTTCTGGCAACCGGGAGGACCACTGAAGAATCTGACGGCGCAGCTCCAGAAAGGAGACACCTTGATGCTCGTCGAACTCGTCGAGACCGTCGATGAAGAAGCAGATCCGAAAGCGGTCGATAATCTCTGGGACCGTTCCCTCGACCAGGCGCTTGAATGCGGTTGCGACGTCTCGCTCGGTGATGTCAAACTTGACTCGCATGCGCGCACTTTTGGAGATGACTCCGGCTGGATCCCAGTATTGTGGAAACAGGAACTCGGTCAGTTCGGGAGCCGACCTAACGGCCGCGTAGAGCAAGCCCTGTGTCAGTCCTCTGAAGCTCTTCTGATCCCGGTTTCCGAACCTCCAGAGAAAGAACTTGGAGATGACGAGCTTCTTTGGCCCGGACCAGTCTGAAAGGAGTATGGGGGTTCGCGGGTGGTCTACAAGGTACTTCATTAGAGTCGACTTGCCCGATCCTGGCTTGCCGGTGATGTGAAAGACTCCGAGTCCGCTTCGCATCCACTGGGCAAAGGTGACGTTGTTCGAGTCGCCAAGGCTCTTCTCGGCGGCCACCTCGAGGATCCAGCCAAACGTCTCATCCGCCGCTTCGTGCACCTCGCCCATGCGCATGTCGTTTCCGAGAAATTTAAGACCCGTAAGTATCAGTTGCCTGTTGAGCATGGCCTGGGCCTCTCCGGCAAGGTCGGTGGCTTCGGCCATCTGGTTTCGGACCATGGATGCATCCACCGGCATTTGCTGGAGGAAAGTCGCTGGTCCCATTTGCTGTTCCAATTCCTTCAGTCTCTCCATGATTCGACCGTGGCGCGCCTCATGCTGAATTTCTGTTCCCTTGATCTGGTCCAGAACGAAGGATACGTCGCGACTTGGTAGCAATGTTAGCCCTCGCTCATGCTGGAATTCTTTTAACTCGGACTCACTGCGTGCATGTCATGAGCAGCACATGCAATGTCTGGCCTCGTTGCTGCAGATCGAGCTCCATCTTGTTAATGTCTGCTTGCGACAGCATGGCCCGGACAGCTGCCTTTGCGGTTGAAACAAGAGAGCCCGTCTTCTTGACGCGGCATTTCTCGACGGCGGCAGCGAGGTCATTGGCCAAATCCTCGCATCGGGACACCACCAGGAGCAGGGACTGGTCGACCTTGCCCTTCTCGGACCGAGACATGGGAACGTTGAGGCGGGTGTTGCGGAGGTCGTCGATAACACTCTGCATGCTGTCCACGGCGTCCATTATGCCGATGCGCTGCTTGCTCAAGCCATTCGAGGCTTGGTAGAGTTCCTTGAACGTCTTGCAGCATGTGTATCCGCGCTCAATGATATCCAAGACGTTGCAGGAAAAAGCCAAAGTCGAGACTGGATCCATTCTCCTGGCTGCGAGAGCTCGGACTGGTTGTCATGAAGCCTGCTGGCCGCTGGCGCAATCCCAAGTGCTGACCACCTTGCTCAGCATACAGACTCGTCATCGAGGGGAAAATTTGTATACTAAGGTAGGTAAGGTACCTGTAGCAATCAGACCGAGAGCTGTCTCCAAAGGAAAGAGCAACCACAATTCCGTCGTCATTCGTGTGAGCTTCTGTCTGGCGTTCATTGTGAGCCTAGACGCGGGAAATCCCGTTCCAGAATTTAACCACCGTCGTGCAAAAGGGGTGTGGCAGTGGCAGTGCATGTGCATGTGCATGTAGGACGCGCAGTCACTGCTTGATTGAATCAAATGATGTGGCAGAAGAATACTCCGTACCCTACGCTTGATTGCGGATGTTGACTAGACGGCAGCTGGAAGCAGCTGCTAAATAGCTACAGTGGGAGTTGACCTAAGTAACAGGGTTAGGGTATGTTACACTGCCCCTGAGGGATAGGCGCACTGCCTCCCGATTTCAACTTGAGCATTGTTGCTATCTTTTTCCTCGCAATTCTATTTATTAGGCATTCTTTCTTTCAACTGCTTTCGAATATCTCCCCCGCATTACTTAAGGTACCTAGTTGGCTTGTCATCCTTCGACGCCTACCCAACTAAGTCAGTGGCACATAGCTAGACATACAACTGGGAAGTCATTGGGCTGTCCAAATACCTCTCAGCTAATAAGTCGTTTTGGACTACTAGAGTATCTGCGGACCCGGATCCAGTGATGGAGCGTACGGAAGTGTGGAGAAGCCGGGCGTGTGGGTCCCGGAAATGACTCGGACGGCAGAGAACCAAACGCGGGAGCGCCGAACCCCTGAATTGCATAAAGCGGGGTCGCGATAGCAGAGCAATAGAGACGAGCTGCGCTGCGCGAAGGAGACTGCGGGGTAACGGAGGGGTAATGTGGAAGATAAAAGAGAAGGAGAGCATAAGGTACTAGTACTTGCTTTATTAACAAGACATTCATTCATGGAATTCGACTCTCATCGTGCTTTGACCTGGCCCATCAATCTAGGTCCACCCTATTTCTATCGGCCGTGAGCACTCAAGCTCAACCACCCGGTAGTGTCCGGAAACCACCAGTGGAGTATCATCAATTTACCGTTGCAATGCGACCATTGCGCTGGTCAGACATTGAGAAGGGCGTTTTCCACCCTGCCCGACTGGCAGACCCCCAGCCGGACGCAGAGGACTGGCAAGCAAGATTGATTGACGAGATTAGGAATGAAAATCACAGGCGAGAAGAGCAGCTTAGCATCCTCAGGAAGATATTGACGGATGGCGGCGAGCGGTAAATCCTGCAGAAAACTCGGGGAAAACTCCAGCAGATAACCTGAGAGCCGCACTAGAAGGCGATATCGACGTTAATGCACCCCTCGACTTGAGGGGGCATAGAGCGCTCCATTACGTGGCCGCGAAGAGCGAGGAGGAGGCATTAGAGCTGCTGCTGCTGCTCCTTGATCGTCCTGACATCGACGTCGATATGCAGGATAATATGGGCATGACCGCACTCAACCATGCAGCTCGGAATCGGCAGACCTGGTGCATCCGACAGCTGCTGTCCGCCGGGGCAGACTCAAAGGCCGCCGATATCTACGGGTACCTGCCTAGGCATCACGCTGAGCAATATTTTGACATGGAGATAATCAGTCTATTCGATAACCCAGAACAAATCCCACAAGTTGGAGTTTTCCCCGACGACGGCCTTCAAGGGGGCTCTAAGGTGGCCAAGATCCCTTTTCATGAACCCCTGCCAGAAGACGAAATGGAACGCGGCCTCTCGGAATATTTTCACGGAAGTTTCTGGGAACCGTCTGGTCCCCGAAAGCGGGAGAGACAGAGCGTGTGGAATCTGGTCTACAGCCGAAAGCAAGTCGACACTGAAAGGCGTCAGAAAAACAAAAAGTGGTTCCATCTTCCGGCAAGCGTAAGTGTGGTTCCATCTGACGCATCACTGGTCGTGTTCTAGGTCTACCTTGTATCTAACAGACCACTATTGCAGCGAAAATGGGCTCAGGTAAGTTCGGTCCCAGGACGTCCGTATATTCCAGAAGAGCGTGGACTGAATGTGTACCGTCAATACTTATTCAGCATCTCGTCGAAAACATCTATTCGGACAAATAGACCAGCATCAGAAGCACGGAAAGTCTGCAAGTTTATTCACAGCGTCTTCAAAGAAGTGGACACCAGCAAATTCAACAGGGGGTATCATTTCAAGGCGAGTACTACAATGTCAGGTACCTTGGCGGTAACTGCCAACTGCCTAAGGTACCTTACCTACCCGATCTTATCAGGCCCAGCATGATTGTTACTGCCTGCTACCCAACCCGACTCCATTAAGAGCGACGCTGACGTTCTGAAGCGTGAGAAACAAACAAGGGGTAACTTGGGAGATAGCGAGCTGTTTGCTGTCGTCGTAAGCCAATCTCTCTGTTCCAGTTTTTTTCCTGTCTCTCATATGGATGTCGTGTCAAATTACTGCTGAATCACATTTTCACCACCCTTTCCTGGTTACCTAGCTTCCCGTAATCGATATCGACCGGAGTAGCTATGTCAATATTGCAAGGCAGCTCCATCAAGAGCTTGATACAGCCTTGTCCCGCATTCCGAGACCTTCCATGCAAGGCCCTCCAGACCAGGAGGACACGTGGTGGCGTCAGGGACTGGAAGAGACGCATATTGCCCATATGCTGCGACTCTGCATATACCACAGTCAAGCAGTGCCGCAGACCTTGGACCAATCCTACCACGGGTCTGGTATCGAGTTGGACAGACTCCAACTCCAGGACAACGATCAGGTCTTTCTCAAATACATGTGAAAGATGGACGCCAAGTATGGTTGGAAACGTGACCGAGACACTATCGCACGGAAGGGCAGTGTACCTGACGCGTATCTCGACGAGATAATCGTAATGCAGTACTTCTAGCTGTTCCAGCTTGACGAAGGCAGGTTCAAGCTCTTCGAGCGTGTGTCCCCAAACACACATGGACCACTAACCTTGACCAGACACCGTCTTGACGTTGTATCCAGAACGGTGGAACAGGCATAACGAAGCTAAGCTGCATATACATCTCCTCGACCAGGTGTCCAAGAACGATGACATCCAAGACCGCGATCTCAACATGCGTCACGCGGCAGAAACTCTTATTCGGTCCTGCATGAGCTTTGTAAGCGTCAGCCCCTTTTCAATGCAAGGAATTCCCACAAATAGACAACATGAAGCAGGTCACGGTGATTCAGATATCGTATACCACCGCCTTCGCAAACTCTATCGGAGACCTGGTCAGCATAGTCGCTCAGTCCTACATCATTGATATCAGCGGCCTATGCACGTATCGGACTGGAAAGCTGACTTAGTACCTGCCATCTAGTATCTGAAGGCTATCCACTGGTATGAACAGTTAACGAAAAGCCTGGGATCCCTGAGCGTTAGCCCGACCAAGTTCTACCAATCTGTGGAAGAGGGGACCCGCCTGCTAATCAAGATAGACGACATTATCGGCGAAATCGGCATGATACGTAAGGTCCAGATGAGCCAGGCCGCCGCCGCCATGACGCTGTCAGACGCCTTATGGGGTGATTTGAGCGAGTTCCGATATTCATTCCGTGATCGAGTACCAGAGGAGGCGAGCGTACACGGTGCTATTACTGAGGCCAGAGCGAACAGGGAACAGCAGTATACGCGATCGCTCATAAACGCCGTGCTGGAGTCATTCTCTCAGTTGGAGGCTGATGCAAACAGGGTGCGATCTATGCTGAAAACCCTCCTTGACCTGCGAGACCGCGAAGCCGCCTTGGAGAATGCCATGTCGGGAAAGACGCAGAGCACCATGCTTTTCATTTTCACCATTATCACCGTTCTGTTTGTGAGTACTACTTAACATCCCTAATCGAAGGCAACAGCATGAACTCAGCAACTGATGGGCAAAATACCAAACTTACCTTACCTAGGCTCCTCTCTCCTTTGTCTCGAGCTTACTCGCCCTCAAGATCGAGGATCTGCCAGAAACCTGGACCAAGCCGCCCCTTGCCGGTGTTTTTGGTGAGTTACCTGTATATGACGGTTGGAGAACTTGGAATCAAGGTTGACCGCATATAAGGCTACGCCACGCTTGCAACCATGGGTCTCTCATTCATGATTTGGATCCTTCACAAGATTCTCACATTTGCGACAGCCAAGCAGCGCAACAGGCCTCCTCTCCGGCCGGACGAAGAGACCGTGAACGAGACCACCATGGACACTGGCCGCAAGACACTGTCTCCATGGCCGAGAACAAAGCTCGTAACCGGATGGCTGAGAGTGCGGAAAACCTGGCCTCTGCGGCGGGACTTAGAGAAGGAATTGGTTACGGAAGTGGTTTCTATACAGCGAGCTTGAGCTCCTGAGGTTGCAGGTTGACGACAGGGACTTGTATGAACTCTTACCAATAAAGAGAGGGCGAAGTAAAGCAGAGAGCAAGCCTGCGCCTTTCAGTAAACAAATGGAATTGTTACAAACACCGCAATTTGGCGTGAAATATAGTCACGGCTGCAGTGATTTATTGTGATCACTGCACTGTTAGACGCACCTGAATGGCGACTGTTAGATTCAAAAGGAAGCGATGGAGATCGAGGTGATCAAGTTTCAGGGGAGCTTTGACCGGCGGCCAGCGTCAAGCAAATGCAATACGAGAAACGGCAGCTCCAAGAAGTTGGAGGGAGAAGAAAAAGAGGGGGGGTTTATACTGATATGAGATGTATGGGTTGGACTTGCCAAATTCTCAAGGCAAGTAGCAAGGGAAGGAGCATGCCGACATGCACCGACAGAGACGAGCCCGGGCCCGTAACCTGATCCTCATTCGTTCGGTAAGAGCAGCTGCCTCCGAAGTTCAAGCACGAGAGAGGCAGTCGCATGCGGTCCTCCTACTCCCGTAAGCGGTCTGCAAGATTCGCGGCATCCCGACAACGAGATGTCCAGGAAAGCAGCCACTACACGAGTCAACCAAAGTTTGCGGTCAGGAGATCACTAAGCTGTGTACCCACGGCCTAATTCGGAGACATAGTGCAGTAAAGTGCCTAAAGTTCCCGTTCCTGACTATCGTGATCACTTAGATTCTCTTTCCGTCATGCTCAGACCCTTCTCACCATCAGAGTTAACTTTGCCGTCAATTACCGTAGCCGCGGTCGTAGCCATCTTGCTTTTGGTTGAGATCCATTTGCACCCAAGCAGCAGGAGAAAGGAGACAACAGGTGCGATAGCCGGGATGTACTAATGGAGATTAGACGTGATCCAGTGCACTTCATTGGACATTGTGACTCGACTTACGAATGTCTGCGTAACGGATAGACTGTATCTTCGGATGACTTCGGGCAACTGGGAAGGTTCTACCAAAGAAGCCACGTTTGTTACTCCGGAATTGATGATGGTGTTCACCGACTCAACCGGGATCACGCTATCTAGGTTTACCTGGAGCCGTCTTTGGAAGACTGCCTGGCCGATTGCCATGAATATGGCGCAGCTGGTCGAAATAACGGACAGCAAAGTGGATGATCCAAGCGGCACGAGGTCCTGCGGGAGAGACGACTGCATAGCAAGATGCGACTGAAAAGAGCATTAGCAATCTCCATACCTCAGGTAGACAGCCATGGAAGGGAATGGTGGGAGCATACCAAATTGGACGCCAAAGAATACCCTATACCGCCGAGAATCTGGTAGCCCACCCAGTGAGCCCCAGGAATGTCAGGATATATCATACTCAGCAGACCGCCACAGAGGCAGACGCAGGCCTCAGCGAACAGCAAGAAAGGATTCCACCACCCCAGCTGTGAAACCAGAGCCGAGCCGATGAAAGCGGCCAGCACGTCCGAGACAACGGTTGGAAAGAAATTAATACCGCTTTGCGTCGGGGATGCACCAAGAACCCCCTGGAACCATACCGGGAGCCAATAGATGACGATCTGGAAGGGGCCGTTCACAAAGAAGGCGGCCGCACAGAGCAGTGCAGGATTTCTGTTCATAGTAAACAGCCGTGGTGGTATCAAAGCGCTTTCCTTTCGCCAGAGAGTCCAGAAGACGAACAGGAGCATAACCACACAGAAGCCGACAAGCAGCCCAATAATGACGGATGATGACCACGCATATTCAATACCGCCCCACTGGAGTGCCAGGAGAAGCATCGTAGTGGAGGATGCGAACAGGACGAAGCCGGGGGCATCGAGCATCGCAATCTTGCCCGCAATGGGCTTCTGTTCAGTTGCTGCGGGCCTGAGATGGACCAGGAGAAAGAAGAGTGCCGCAGCTGCACCTCCAATGGGTAACTGCAGGGAATGCAGAGTTAGTCGGAGCCGGCCAAATAAACCTAAATGGGAATCAACGGAGTTCCCAGGCTAGTGTCCGTACGTTGATATAGAAGCACCACCGCCAAGTGACATTCTGGGTCAAGGCACCGGCCATGATTGGGCCGACGATGCTAGCAATGGAGAAGGTGGCGCCCATGGTGCCCGTCCACACGGCGCGTTTGTGTAACGGAATGATGGTGGTGAGGATAGTGAAGCCGCCGGCAAAGAGGCCCGAGGCACCAAACCCGGCAACAGCACGACCGGCAATCAGGGCGGGCGAGGACCGAGAGAGGGCGCACATCAGACTGCCAGCCTCAAAGACGACGAGGTAAAGCAGATATGTGACCTTCTTGGACCACAGTGTGTACACCTTTCCGGCAAGCGGCTGGCTGGACGACATGGCAACCATGAATGCGGCGCCATACCAGCCTATATCCCGCGTCGTGTCGAATTCGGTCGTGATGACAGGAACGGCGGTTGCAATCAGGTTGAAGTCCTTCGTAAGGTACTCTAGTGAGCTCCTGCCATGCCAATACCGCCCCTGGGATTTGGGAAAGGACGCATACCAAGCCGACGAGAAAGGTGCACAGACAAATGGCAACGTGGATCAAGATCAACGTGGTGCCCTGAACCTCGTTGGCGGGATCAATATCCTCACTAATGTCGGTTTTGACGACATTCTTAGGTTCAGTATTGGTGTTTCCTAGATCTGAAGACCCCGTGCTTTGGTTGGCTGCGCTGTCGTCGTTCGAGTTCATTTGAGGCTGCGCTGGGCGATCTCGGTTGAGTATGTCTTGGCTATCAGTGCTATTCCCTCAGCGGTTAGTGGTGAGCGGGAGGAAGCGGAAGGAAGCGGGAAAAGCCTATCTGCCTACATGTATGCTACTAGGGAAGAGTGTCCGGAAAGAGGGAAGGGAACGAGGAAGCAAACCTCTAGCAAACTGGGTGGTGAAAGAAAGCTGCTAGCTGAGTACTAAACCAACGCGGACTAAGGTATTAAAACCCAGCATAATCGGTATCATATCGGCCGACCAGCCTGCACCGTGGTCAATTCTGTTGGCGATCTCACAAGATTTGACTGGGAAGGACGGGCCAATGACGATGCAACCCGCCGGATGTTGGATGAAAGGTACCTTCAAATCATGCTGGATAAAATCACACCTATAGCACACGCCCGACGATTCCGCCAACTGGCCGTCCAATGGAGCGGGAAGCGCCCGCCCAACGTGTAACTTGCCGGGTGGTGCGGGCTGGGCTGCATACAAGTACTGCGATCATATTGATTGAACAAACCAACAGTCCCGGCTCGGGCATGGCTGAGTCCAGCGAGGTGCCTGGAATAGCCAAGTGTGGGAGTGGAGATAGTCACCCCTTGAGTAGTGGGGATCAAAACCCCTTGAGTACCTTAGTGGGGATCATGACCCCTTATTGGTTGCCTAGTCAACCAGAGGCAGCATAAACATTTCAAACATCATCGGGTGTTGCCATGTCTTCCGTGTTCCTAGGTTTCAACGTAGCCGCTTGAAACCAAACTTTTCTCGAAACAGAGCAGAGATCAATCAGCCGAGCAACTTGAACGGTTGCGTTATGGTGGTTTAAAGAGCTGAGGGGCTCCCAAGGGTAAGCACCTTGGTAGGCCCAACTAACGAATGGATGCTCATCAAGAGGCGCAACATGTGCAATGACATACTCCGCCTTGAAACTGTGTAATATACCTAGTATCCAAGTCCATAGTCATGGAGAACCAGGCAAGTGCGATGTCACGCCCTCCGAACCACTGCCATTCATTTCCCGCAATCCCATCATCACTCAGGCCAAGCGAACATCCATGACACTCTCGTAGCTCGGCGCGTTATACAAGTACGTCTTGACCAGACGCAAGCCGACCTCAGCAAAGAGGGCCTTCCACTGGGCCTCCGAACGCTCCGCACCCGCAAAGGCCGCCAGCATGGTCATGTCATGCGCCGTAGCATCCAAGCTGGCACCGACCTCAGGCGGGATGATCTCATCAATCAACAGCACCGACTCGCTTGTCATGGCCGCCTTGGTGTGCTCCAGAATCTGGCGCACCTTATGGTCGGGATGGTTATGACAGACGCCGCGCAAGAAGTAGAACTTTGCCCCCTTGACCGGCTGGGGCTCAAAGAAGTTGTGCACCATGTTCTCGACGCCAGGTGTAGGCAAGGCGGCGGCGATAGAGTGCGCCAAATCTTGCAGAATCACTCGTCCGGGAATGTCCGGGTATTTCTCGCGGAACTCGGCGCACTGGTGGCCGATGTTGCCGCCAATATTGACGTACAGCGGTCGGCCGGCACTCCAGTTTGCGGCCTCTTGGCGTACGGGGTACACAGACAGCCAGCTTAGCTCGGGTCCGCGTCGTGACGCCATGTAGTCGTTGAAGTAGGCCATGTTGTCGGGGTGGTCGGAGAACCACGTGAACGGGCCCTTGTCCGTCTTGAAGGCGTCATGCCAGGCTGTGTGCGTTTCGTCGCTTGGGTTTTTGTAACCCGTGTTCTTTAAGTAGTCCGGAAGAGCGTAGTATTCCGGGCAGACTGTGTAGAAACTGTCATTGACAACCAAAAGGATGCTGGTCAGCTACCTCTAATCCACGTATATCCCTGCAGTATGGGTCGTCGAGCTCCTCCTGCTCGTCTGCCCTGGGGTCCGGGAACTGTGAAGATATTGACGTACTAGTGCTTTATACCTGCCTCAGCGATTTTAGCAGTCATGTTTCTGGAGGCATGGTTGGCTGCGAACGTGTCTTTGGACACTTCGTCCACCATGCCAATGGCGGCGAGGAAGCGAAGCAGTCGGCCTAAAAGCACGGCCAACGGGTAGTTAGCGGAGGCGTGGCAAGGAGTCATCATGTACGTGAATGTAAAGGCTATCTCATACGCAGCAGAGGCTTCTCAGCGCTTGTCTTTTGAGCAAGCGAATCCACAGTCACAGGCCCTTCTGCTGCAGCAAGCAGCCTGAAGAGCCCCAAGTCCACAGCTGTCACAGTGGCAGACGTTTGCAAGACCTATTTGTCCAGCAGTATGAGCTCCTTATTCTTGTCAAGAGGAGCATTGAGACAACAGGACTTACCAAGCCTCCAATCCGCTGAACCATGGCATCGGGAGTTTCCAGAGAATGGATGAGATTTGTGAGGGCAAGGATAACCTGTTGGCGGGCTTCCGGGCGAGCCTCGCCCACAAGCTGAGTGATCAGCTTGAGCGCTTTCTCCATGGCGACAGAGGGTTCTGGGTTGTTGAGTTTTGCCGTTGCAAGGCCTCAAGAAGAGGTAGTCTTGCACCTGTTGTCTTCCTAAGTTCTAGCAGATCGGGAACCTCAATGTTAGCCGTGCTCCAGTTCCTTCTATAGGGTCCCAAAATATATATTCCGAATTTTTGTCTAAGCAAATATCCCTGTGGAAGTAAGACCGAGTAAAAGAGGTTCAGGTCACTGACATACTGAAGCAGGGGTTGGGACCTCGAACCGCGTTCAGGGTTTTGCGATGCACTGGAGTGACACAACTTATTATTGACCTAGGACGATGGCGAATACAATGCAGTGTCCGCCAACAATCCATGGAGGGGATCCATGGAGGGGGTGTTCCTAATGCGAGGTACCTGAGACGGGTATGTCGAATACAAGTAGGTACACATGGTTAGTACAATACGCATGCATATGCGGTGCGGCCCGGGTGGAATGCTCGTGCCAACAAGCCTTGCTTACCGAATGCATCGAATCATGAGTGTCGTGGACTTCAATCACATATTCACATTCCCGCCAAACGGGAATAAGTCTCCAAATTTGGTTCGCTGACCTCGACGGCGCAATGGGTATGTGATGGCCATGCACGTTTCTCCAAAGCGCCGAATAGCCGACCTTTTGTCTTGCCCAGCCTGCCGGCGGGACGGGCCGTTGTGTTGCCGCCGCCACAAACCAAGCCTTGCACGCCGCTTATGCTGCATACTGGCTCCCCGCCCGTCGTACGGATGGCACGGGTGACGGCAATGACTAAGTCAGGTTCAATAATTGGAATGCATACGGGAGAGTTCAGACTGCGCAGCCGCGGTTGCGCTGTTGGCCTGCCGCTGTGTCAAAACGAGCGGCTGCTGGTATGGGCGCGGCAATATGGGACCGCCGTCATTACCAGCACCGGCTTTTATCAATTGTCTGCCGGCCAGCGTGAGACCCTACATCGGCCCAGTGTTTGGCATCCAAGCAAAGCACTATCAGATACGCTGCTTGCGCATCCTGGTAGCCATGATCAAGGACCGGATCCGGGTATGGCAGGCGCAGCAGCATAACTCACAACCCAGCAAAGCCAGAGGCTGACCACATGCACAATGACTTTCTCCAGTCGACAATTCCGCGGTGCGCCATGGACGGGCTCGCCCAGCTGGACCCGTGTATGATTAGGAGATGCGAAAACTCGGTCAGTTGGGGTGTGAATTCTTACTACCCAGAAGAGGGGGCTCCCTGATATACGCTTCCTGAAGTTTGTTGCTTTCATTGCACACCTAGATTGCCTAAGAGGAAAATCCGCTCGTGGTGTGGTATGTTTATATTCTATGTGGTTACCCGGACAACCATAAGGGGTAGTACCCCACCCTATTCAGGGGCCCGCCGGGTCCACTGTCACACCTCCTTATTCCAGGCACAACAAGGGAGCCATTCCGAGAATTCGATTCTTATCCTTATTGAGCTCCCAATTCTACCCGACTCAGTTAGGCTTTCTGTTTAGCTTCTGCAGGGTCTTTCTTGCGCAGGTCCTTCCACCCCATCCCCCAGAGCACCAGACCACATGCTGCGGCCATGCCCGCAACGAGGTAGAAGACCCGGTCAATGCTGTTTGCATACGCCACAATAACCCCTGGAAGGTCTTCCGAAGACACAATGGCACGATATCCCGTGGCACCTGCGCCAATGATGGCCTCAGAATTTGCATTGGGTGCCTGTATTGGTAGCTCAGCGCGGAGCGTAGTGTAGAAAATCAGTTGGCACAGTGTGAGCACAATCGCAGGGCCTAGGGATTGAGCAAAGACGACGAAAGCCATGGCGGATGAGAGCTCCTCCCCGGTCACAACGGTCTGAATCGCAATGATGGCCTAAGCAAGGAGGTTGGTGGATGTAAGGTTAGCAAACATACCCAAAACTCCGGATTATGTGATGTATTGAGGTCAGTTGTGTAGGTCGACGATAATGAAACCCACGCACCACTTGTAATCCGAGGCCCGAGCCGGCTCCGCCGAGAATCTGAAAGCCGACCCACCAACAAGTCGGACTGTTCGGCCTGAGTATGGAGTATAGCCCGCTCGCGATGGACAGCAGTACGGTGGACAAGGCGGCCAGTGGGATTACATACCCGACAGCTATTACTAGACAAGATGGAGCGTTAGCGAGCCTGAGTCATGATCTGCCGCAACCATGGTCCAATCGACTCACTCAGAGCTCCTGACGACGCAGCCATGGCAAGCTGAGGCAGAATGGTCGGTAGCAGATACACGCCGCTCATCATGGGTGATGCGCCATTGATGGCCTGAAAGTATATGGGGAGGAAAAAGATCGCGCCGTAAACTGCTGCCATGAGGAACGCTTGGTACAGTCCCGATGTCCACACGGCGGTGCGAGTGATCATTGCCGCAGGCAACAAAGCATCCGCTCCCCTGTAACGGTTCCATATGAGCCATACAACAAAAGTGGCAGCCGCGCCACAGAAGAGACCGATAACCTGGGATGAGTTCCACGGGAACGTGGTGCTTCCGAACTGCAGAGCCAAGATCAACTGCAGCACTGCCGGCGCAAACAGGGAAGAGCCCACGAGGTCAAGGTAGCGATGCAGTTTTCTGAGGATGGTGATCGACGGGGGCTTTTTGGCCTGCTCCGGCACGTGAACAAGGAGGAGTCCCGCGACGACCAGTGCACCAATCGGTAGGTTGAGGTAGAAACCTAGTGTTTAGCCACTCGTCAGCAGGAAGAACTAGAATACCTCAACATTTCGGCTAGATGTGCGTGATAAGAGTTACTGCTGGCGGAACCACCCCACACTTACACCATCGCCATGTAGAATACGAGGTAAAAGCTCCACCTATCAGTGGTCCTATCACTAGACCGAGTTGATTGACTACAGTGGGTGGCGCCCAAATTGTCAGCATTGGTAACTTTCGCAAGTACTATAGGCAGTTCAAGGAGAACGGTGAGGATGGAAGCGGTTGCCCCACTCACAGCCCATGACGATCCCGATCAGACCTACAGAGAAGGGCAGTTAGTTTTCGTGGGAGTCTGAACCAGCTGTTGACGCTCCACATACCTGGGCGTTTTTCCATAGGCACAGAGCTGGAAATGATGATGAGGGCACCGTTGATGATGCCCGCGGCACCAATCCCCGCGATGGCGCGGCCGACGATGAGCATGGCCGAAGAGACAGCGGCCCCGCATAGGACGGAGCCAATCTCGAAGATGAGAAAAAATAGAAGGAAAGAATACTAAGCAAAACCATCTAGGTTAGTCTTCCCGCCAACATTCTGTCTGTATGTCATTTCCAAGGTCCCCATTTGATCCCGCAAGCCATGGAGGATGTTCGAACGTCCTAAGAAAGAGTCAACATAGGGGACACCACGAACCTTGTTGCTGAAGTGAGCGAACACCTTCCCGGATAAGGGCTGTGGAGCCGCGCTATGATGGAGTTCATGTCAGTATCGATGCATCCTCGTCACAACCCGACGGCACCTGTATCAATCGACGACGTCGTCAAGGAGACGTGGATACTGACCTCCCAAACTGGTACGCGGTGGCATACCAGCCAACATCGGCAAGCGAGTGGAATTCGTCCGTAATCCGCGGGATGGCCTAGAGTGGAGAGAACCGGAGTAAAAAGGATATCAGCATCAATCTCCGGCGCCGGAGGTTGGGAGCGATGGGTGGGATGGGGTTTCTTGGAAGCAACTCACGGTGCTGACGACCATGGTGTCTATGAGCATTAGGCAGCAGGCCAGGCACATGCACGCAATCACCATGGCCAGCTTGAAGCCCGTCAGGTATTCGCTTTTCTCGTCCCATGTCTCTGCCGGTTCTGCCACTTCTCGTGTTGCAGGCGACAAATGGTCTGCATTCGCAACTTCTGTCTGACGTGGAAGTGCCTCTTTTTTCTGCGAGAATGTTGGCTGCTCTCGGGCTCGAACCTCGTCGAGTGTGGCTTTGGATCCGTGTGCTGTTTTGGGTGCTGTTGTTGTGACCACTGGCTCGCTCATACCATTGTCGCCATCTGCCATTGTCTTCATCATGGCCGGGGCCGTCATCGGTGTATGTCACGGCGGCTACCAACTCGAACTAAGCCAAAGCCCAGGCTCTATCGCAAGACTTTGCTCTGTGTTCTGTAGTGATGCGAAGGAAACCGCAAGGAGTAAATAAGGCCGTGTTTGTTTACGAAGCGAGTGATAGATTAAGAAACAAGGTAGCAGATGGCTGGGCCTCATGGTACAATACGTCCCCTAGGTTGGCCCGCGGCAACGAAAACCCGTACTCGAACAAAACTCGCGCCGAAACTCGAAATATGAAGTCCTTGCTCAAGGATTCGTTCCCAGTTCCGTACGGCGGCCGACAGGAGTAGCCAACAAACAACTCTCTACCTTGTGCTCAGCAGACATCTTGAACAGTGATCAGAATGCACCCTGCATCGAGTCCATCTCCATAATGACAACCCATGTCTCTAATCGACGAGCTTGAGTAACTACTGCTAGCACCGTGAGACTTGTTAATGGCACTTAACCGATCCCAGATTGTAACCCGGCCGTTATTAGGCCTCCCCGTCGAGGAACACCCGGCACCGGCACCTGGAGTTCCAGCTTGTCAATGGTACATCCGAAAGGGTGTAAACCGAAGACCAGAACCGACCTGCTGGGGCAACTTCTATCTTCATCTGCGGTATAGGACCTGTTGCTGGCTTGCACTGTGTGTCGGTGCTGGAGATTAAGCGTATTTGTTGTCAACACTAATCGTCTCGATTCCCACAATATCATGTCTGTAGATCGTTCAATGCTACGCCCAAGAACCAACACCCCATGCCCATCACCAACATCCAATGGGCGATTTGAGGTTCGCCAACAACTCAAGTGTCAAGTGTCAACGACCACATGCAGGTTCCAGTGACAACCCGCAACCGAGCGGCCGCCGAGAAGCCTTGGCATGCATGTTGTCGGCCGACTCACACGCAACCCACCCGGAAGTATGGGACATCTCGCACCTCAACCCCTCAACACGGCCGTGGACAGATAGATTTGATGTAGTTAACCCCTGCAACAACCCCTGTCGGTTTTGTTGACAGAGGCGGGATATACCGCACTCGTGTACGATAGTTGGGCAGAGGACTGGCGCTGCATGGGCTGCGGCCGGCCTTGTTCATGATACCTTGCTTGGGGGTGCTTACATGTTCGGCCGCCACCCCGTCTTTAATTATCGATGGCGGGTTCAACTGCGCATGGTTAGGATGCACTGACCGACTCGCTGTACGACAAGATGGTCCTACAACGCAGCAGCAGAAATGCAGCAGCAGAAATGCAGCAGCAGAAATGCAGCAGCCATATTGTTGGTTACATCTTCGGTCTAGAGATCCACTTGAACCTCTTGCACCTCACATGTAACTTCAGACCCCCGGTCTGAGAGGCTGCCGGTCCATGACCCGGTTTCGACCCAAAGTTACGGGATACTGCCCGAATAGGTATTTATTGGACGTGCGCCATATTGCCTTGACCTACCCGACAACCAACAACCTTTTGCTCCACGTCCAGCTCTCGCCTGCCTGCATCGCTCCCCTTAACCGCCACGCACGCTGAACCTCACCAAATCCCACGTCTCGCCAGCACCACCTGCCACCATGTCTCTCCGCCAGCAAATGATCGACACGACCAGGGCCTGGGTGAAGGCACACAACGACAAGGATGCCGAGGCCATCAAGGCACTTACGGCCCCTGACTTTGTCGCGCACTTCTTGCCGCGCTCGCTGCCGCCGCAAGGCGACAAGGACCGTGATGGCTACGTCCAGTTCCAGGCCGCCGCCTTCCCCATGTTCTCGGCCTACCACGCCGCCGAGGTCGACATGGTGGTCGACGAGACGCAGCACAAGGTCGTTGTTTACCTCGACGCCGAGGGCACGTCGGCCATGCCCGGCGCGACCGACCCGTACCAGAACCAGTACGTCCACAAGCTGACCCTGACCGACGACGCCAAGCTGGTCAGGGTCTTCGACTCGTTTATCGACAGCCATTTCATGATGACGTTTATGGGCAAGGTATTTGCCGCTCAAGGCGCTGCTGCGGGTGGGAGCAAGTGATGGAATGCCGTGGGAGACTGCATGTATATGCTGAGCTGGGGATCTTGGGAATGGAACCGCTACAAACCAATGTTTTTTTTTTGTACCAGATTGGAATGGAGAGTTGTGGCTCACAATGAAGATGAATCTCAAAGCCAAATGTCACCAGACATTCATTGTCCCCTTAGTGCCCGTGAAGGAACATGAAGGTAGTATGATCCATACGAGCGTCCCCTGGAGCCATCCACATAGGCCGCCGCGGCAACCTCGAATGCAGCCCAATCCGGGTCCGTAATGAGGGCCGCCATGGCAGAAGGGTCCCCCACGTAATAGATTGACATGGAGTCGTACTGGGGCACATTCCACCCGGGCCGGACGGCGCCACCCGCAATGGCCCGCAGTTCAGGGGTGATCAGGGTCTGGAATGAAGTAAGGAATGTCAGTCATTGTGTGTTTACTCGACTTTCTTAAAAAGTAAAAAACAAAAGAAAAGAAAAAGAATAAAAAAGAATAAAAAAAGAAAAAGAAAAGAAAAAAAATTTGGAAAAGACTTTCTGGATAGCTTTCCTCTCTCCAAGGCGAGACTCTGTGACGCGCGATAATCGATTTCACTTTTGGATACCGGTCATTGATCAGAAATGTAGCCTAGGCGCCCCAAGTAACGTTTAAAAGTTTGTACGAGCCGACTTTGTAATGCCGGTTCAGACGCGGCTGGCCCGGGTTCGTGGAGTGGTAATTAAGAATTTGATCAGGCACGGTGAGTGCGTAGGTATGCTGCCTGTTGAAGTCCGAGCAGCGGAAGGGCGAGGGAAAGGCCGTCCCGGCCTGCATCCTAGATGAGTGCAAAAGCGTTTCTTCGTAACCAGACATTACTCAGGTAAGGTAGGTATGATTTGACTAGAAGCAACTTGACTCGGAGTCAGCTCGGCTAGGAAAGCCGCCTTGCGGCACGCAACTTGCATTCTCTCTGCACGATGACTTCCAACATGCGATTGATATCACACTCCATGGAGCATTCAGGCCTGGCGCTGGCCGTTCTCCGTCCCGATCCGACTTTCCTCAACGATTGCCAACGCCGACCCACGTGGCTCTATAACGGTATAACCTGCCCGACAACGGATCGTGTGTCCGCCTCGGCAAGCATCTTCCCTTTAGTTGGTATGTGATGTACAGTCTTCGCTGCTTCAAGGTAGGCACGTTGGTTTGTCGTTCCAACGCGGGCAATATAATGTGGTTCTGGATCTGGAAATCACATATCGGCCAATTTGGACCACGAAAACACACCAGCGTGGAACACCTGCTGGCAGTTTGCGCCGCTTTAGTACACCTGACATACGTGATGATCAGGTACGGCCCGCGGCAATTGAACAGAACCAAAGATATAACAGGCTGGGACATGTGGCGAGGAAAGGTCACTGCATGGAAGCTAACATAGGTAAGGTAAGCGCATATCTGTACTAGTAAGTCCGTGACGGAGGACGAGTGTAGTAAGGGGGTGAAAGGAGAAATTGTCGGTGCCCACATGCCGGAGGGTAGCAAAATAGGAGACACGCTAGATGCGAAAAAGAAGTGAATTGACGTGGCCTTGGAGATATTGGGAGCCTTCGTTATGGGATCCGACTAAGGCACATCATGTCCCTTGGCTTTGTCCCGGATATCGCTTGCGACGCGCGGGACAGGGCGAGCGGCGAGCTCAGAGCGAGCTAATGGACGGCAAAGTACTAGTTTCTGGCTTGTACGGTTAGAAGTCCTTGAAGGCATGTCTACATGTGGCGAGAGGCCGGTGATGGAAGAACGCCCACCCCAAGAATAGGTGCCAGTGGAAGGTTCTGTCTATATATGGTCTACCAGGGATTCTAGGATAGATAGCACGAGGACATAGCTCTTAGACCTCAGGCTCGAGCAACTGAAGCAAGTAACAGTACCGCGTAATAAGAGCAAGATGAAGGTATCGAATTCTGGGACGGTGACCCTAGAAGACCTCCTGAGGACGCGAGCAGCGCAACACCAGTCTCGAGGCCTCCTTCTCTACCCTCCGGGAAACACATCAACGCCAACGAGTGTGTCGTATGCCAAACTGTACGCATCCGCAAGCAAAAACGCCCAAGCCATCCGAGCCCTTGCATCCTTCGGAGAGAATAAACCCGTACTGCTCCACGTTCACGACCATTTCGACACCATCCTCTGGTTCTGGTCGATCCGCTTGGCTCGGGGACTGCCCGTCCTGTCAACCCCATTCAGCAATGTTGACGAATATCGTAAAATGCACATTCAGGGGTTCTCATCGCTCCTCGAGTCACCGATATGCATTACTCGAGCTGCCTTCATGCCTCGGTTCGATGCAGCCAAGCATTCCTTGAAACTACATACCATTGAGGCGCTGGAGCAGGAGGATGGACCAGAATCAGATTTGTACCGCCACGGGAACCATACCGACGCAGCCTCAAGCAACGGTCACTCACAGGAGAGCCTGCAAGATGTCGACGGCAGGGAGAGCCTGGCGATGCTCATGCTCACGTCTGGCAGCACGGGCAACGCCAAAGCCGTCTGCATCACCCACGAGATGGTGCTGTCCTCAGTCGCCGGCAAGGCGGATGCGCGCCATCTTCCGGCAGACCGGCCTTTCCTGAACTGGATCGGGCTCGACCCCGTCGGTGCCCTGATCGAAATCCACATGCATGCTCTCTGGGCCGGCGTTGACGAGATCCACGTGAGCGCTGCCGACATCGTCTCGTCGCCAACCGTCTTCCTGGACCTCCTCAGCCGCCACCGCGTCTCCCGGTCGTTTGCGCCAAACTTCTTCCTGGCCAGCCTCGTGTCTGCCGTTGGGACGTCAACGAAGACAGGAGAAGGGTCGGGAGGCGGTGGGGATGAAGATGCTAATGGCACACCACGTCGCTGGGACCTGTCGAATCTGGCCTGGCTCGTGTCCGGCGGGGAGGCAAACGACATGGAGACCTGTGTGAAGGTCTCATCGCTTTTGGAGGGATTTGGCGCACCACGGGGCGTCCTATCCCCCGGATTCGGCATGACCGAGACCTGCGCAGGCTGCATTTACAGCCACGACTGCCCCGGCTACGACTTGGCGCGCGGGTACGGTGTCGCTTCCCTCGGCAGGTGCATCAAAGGGATGGAGATGCGTGTCACGGTTCTTGAGAACTCGACTCAGCAACGGAGAAGTGCCCAGCCCGGCGAGACGGGCGATCTCGAGTTGCGAGGCACCATGGTATTCCGGGCGTACTACCGCAACGCGACGGCCACTGCGGAGGCTTTCACCCCTGACGGCTGGTTCCGCACCGGCGACCGTGCCGTGCTGGACACCAAAGGCTATCCGTGTCTTTCTGGCCGGTCCAAGGAGGTTGTCAACATCAACGGCGTCAAAACCCCCATCAGCGACATCCAACTGCTCCTTGAGCGGGCGGTTGAGGGGAAGGGCGTTGCTCGTCTCGTCGTGTTCCCCTCCCGCGCGGCGCATACAGAGCAGGTCACGGTCGCCTATCTGCCCCTACATGTCGCACCAGCAGCCCACCCTCGCGCACGCCAGCGGTAGCAACGGCAGCAACACTACGTATGCCGGCTCGGACGCTGCCGAGATCGAATGCCTCCTTGTCAAGGAGTGTCTGCTAGCAACATCTTCACGACCGCTCGTTTTTGCGCTGAGCGCGGACTCGCTGCCTCTTCTCCCGACGACGACGCTGGGCAAGATCTCGCGGGCCAAGATGCGCTCGCTGTTTGAAGAGGGCGCGTTTGCAGCTGACGTGGCACGGTACCGTAGTGCAGTCGAGAGCAGCCGGCTTCACCAACGCCAGAGGAACGGGGCTAGCAGCAAAGTTGAACGAAAGCACCAGCCAGGGGTAAGGCCAGCGATCAGCGAGGCTGAAGCGAGCCTTCTTCAGGATTTTATCAGGGCCCGCGACGGTGAGAATGTTACCATGAATGACGGTACCACTGCCGCAGGGGACCCGGAGTTTGACATCGATGTTGACATGCCCGTATGGGAGCTGGGGTTCACGTCCATGACGCTCATCCGCCTCAAACATGCCATCGACAAAAGGCTGGGCATTTCCCTGCCGCTCGTCACGCTCATGAAGAATCCCACTGCCCGGTCGCTGGCTGCGGCGCTGTCAGACATGCTGCTGCTGAATAAGCTGAATCAGAACGGTCATGACACGCCGCCAAATGGAGCCACCCCTCAGGTTCCGAGTCAAACCCACTACAACCCAGTCGTAACCTTCCGCTCAACAGGCTCCAGGACGCCTCTGTGGCTGGTCCACCCCGGGGTAGGCGAGGTATTAGTCTTCGCGGGACTAGTCCAGCACCTAACCGATGATGACCGGCCGGTGTACGCGTTCCGCGCGCCCGGGTTCAAACCCGGCGAGCAGCACTTCGAGTCTGTTAGCCAGGCCGTCGACACGTACGTGGCTGCTCTTAGACGCAGGCAGCCGCGGGGACCCTACGCCCTCGCTGGTTACAGCTATGGCGCCATGCTGGCCCTTGAGATGGCCAAACGACTGCAGGATGATAAAAGAGAAGAGGTACGCTTCCTCGGCAGCTTCAACCTGCCGCCGCATATCAAGACGCGCATGCGCCACCTGAACTGGAACCTGTGCCTGCTAAACCTGGCATACTTTGTCGGTCTGATCAGCGACGAGCGGGCAGCGCGCATTGAGGAGCTCGGATACGACGACGAGGCCAACCCAGAACAGTCAATGCTTCCACAAGGGGACCTGACCACTCCGACAGATCCAGGGATGGAGTAGATGGGGGGTTCCGGGCCCTGACAAGCCGCAGTCAAGCACTCGCCATCATCCTAGGCGCAGCCGACAAGGCCCGGCTTGAGGAGCTGGGAATTGGCGAGGCAGAGCTGGCGCGGTGGGCCGACGTGGCATACGGGCTGCAGCACATGGCGGTCGACTACGAGCCGAGCGGGCAAGTGGACAGTATCGATGTGTTCCACGCCGTTTTATTGCGGGCTGTAGCCGCGACCCGCGAGGCGTGGTTGCGTGATCATCTGTCTCGGTGGCAGGAGTTTTGTAAGACGGGCGGCGTGAGGTTCCGTGAAGTTGGGGGCGCCCATTATACTATGATTGGGCCCGACTATGTTGCTGGGTTTGCAATGGTCTTGAAGCAGGCTTTGAGGGATAGGGGGGTTTAGGCGATTGAAGTTTGAGGGTGATATGGATATGAAGGGCCTTCCTCCTCTTTTGGCTTTCACTTGGAGCCTCAAGGCAAGTGGAAATTGCCATTCTTCCAGTGGTAGGCCTGTACGTGTGGGAGCAATACTGCCCAGGAAGCGTGGAAAAGCAGGTCCGTACGGTCGGGTGGAAGGTTGGCTCGACGGCGCGCATCCCGGGCAATACTGGGCCAACGCGAAAAAGCCTACCACTGGCAGGAAGCTCTTGGAAAGGCTGTCATTCCAGTGGTAGGCCCGTATGCGTGGGAGCAATACTGGTGGAAAAATTGGCGTAGAAGATCGGCCCGTACGGTCGGGTGTGAAGAGAGCACCGAAGAATTGGGTGTATATCGTAGCGGTTTGTTGGTTGATGGAGGGTTGAAGGAGAGGAAAAGAGCCAAGCCTCAGTGCCCCAATGAATACAGGTTTTCCCCAGGGTTCCTCCTTCCCAGTCGACTCAACAACACTCAACAGGTGGAAGGTTGACGCCACGGTCGCGACGGCTCAATTGATGGCTTCAATTCGCTGCATCCGGGCAGTACTGGTCGCCCACGAATAAGCCTACCACTGGCAGGAAGCTCTTGAAATGACCTTTCTTTCAATTCCTACGCAAGTAAGTCAGTAGGTACTAGGTGGAAAAAGTGGTATACGGATAGAAGGTTGACTCAATTGCTCCCACGCGACCGCGACGGCCCACGCGACGGCCTACGCACAGGTTCAATTGCCTGCATCCCAGCCAGGATTATACCAATGGGTTTAATTCAGCTGTAGCTGCAAAGGCCTTGCAAAGGCGATCCTTTCGATGTATTTGGAGGTAGGATACCTGACTGTTGTTGTGGTAAGTAGGTGGAAAAGTAGGTGGTTTACAGACAATTCTGTGACGGAGACCGCGATTTTGTTCAACACGTACTCAGAGTCTCAGACCAGCTGGCGCTGTTTGTTGTGTGGGGGTTCTGATTGGCTGAAAGGAAGGTGAAAATAGTGGGTCCCTGGACAGTACAAACTACAAGGGCATGACCTAAAGGATAGGGCGCATGGCTGGTCTGAGAACCTGAGATAAGATGGAACCCTGACCTGGGGCTAATAAACCCGACTAAGCTTACCGACAGCGGGCGAATTTCCAACAGAACCCTCACCGATTTGAGATCGGGAGCTCCGAACACCATGTGATCCATGCGTTAGCCCACATCGCAGTTCCTGGCCTTGCTCGTGTTTCTGTCCCAACGCATCCGACAGCACAGATGACATTGCATCAAAGCAAGACGCAGCCGTCGCAGCGGGACATTCGGTATTGGCGAAGGCAAGGCACTTTCAAGTTCGATATCTCCGAGTTTTTCTTACGTCCGTAGGCAAATGAGGGCCATATATACAGCCGGAAGGCAGTTTTCCAAAGACTGAGATGATTCGAAGCAGCGGGTAGTTGCTTCAGACCGCCGGTGACGGAAGATTAACGCTTTGCCCACCCTCAACGAACATCCATACCTTGGGGATGGACTCATTAGAACCAGAATCTGGAGTCTACAGTCGACGCCGGACCAACATTGACCACGGAATTGAGAATGAATTCCTCTCTTTCAATATTCCCATCGGTCATGTCTCATACACGGATGATTAATGATTTACAACGGCCGGCCTTGAAGATTGCTTCTAAGAGGCCGTGCCCCAGGGATTGGGCGCACCCTTGGGACGGCGTCGTTCGGCAGAGAGCACTCCAGGTACAGTACATACAAGGCGCTACAGACATGGAAGGACGCTGCCTGCGTCTTGCGTACTCCGGTCATGCTTCCGGACGATACTGTCGGATCATGCCGGAATTCTCTCCCGCAACTCCAGCAAAATGCTGAGAATGGAACTCCTTGATGTGGTAAATCAGCTTCCCTTAACCACCACAGGGCCGACCGCAGCGACAACGCCCATAGCATGAACAAGGGGATGTTGCCGTGGCCCGTCGAACGCTCGGACCACAACGCGGCTTGCCCCGTAGCCAACCGTTTTTGGTTTGGATGCGGCGACGCACATAGCCGTCACCGCATGCCGGAACCATGCGGAGTGCTACATACCAGGACAGCCCACGGTTGTGTTCCTGGCAGGTCTCTGCTCTTCTCTCCCCTCGTTTGCGGCAGTCAGATCCGATCGGGCATCCTTGGAAGCGTTCGTTTCCAGCAAGGGGACCTATGTCCGCGCGTGCTGGCTGCTGATCCCCTGGCCAGATCTGGCATATCTGCCTCTGGCCCGCATCAGCGCTTCCCACCAGTCTCCTAGGCTTGGGCGGGGGCAGTCATGTCCTGCCGCCGTTTGTGTAGGCCGCTATGTTGCTGATCTACACCAAAAGGGCTGGTCCGTTTTATGCCCCGTTTCCTTGGCTCTCTGTGAAAGCCATGCACATCATCCACTTAGCCATTTGTTGGGCTATGTGACTTTGGGATTAAATGGTCTTCCACACTGCTAAAGTTCTCGTCTTGGGCCAGTGGTTCGGGACTGCCATGGCGAAATTGGGATGCTCCAAGGTTTGCGGAAGGAAAATTCTCTCGCCGTTCGCTGTTCTGAAGTGCACAAACGCACGACAGCTTGCAATGGTGTTTTCTGGTCTTTGTGTACCGTACTGTCTGTCTGACCCAAGGCCTAGATGTCCTCCCGGCAACCTCCTACACCGACATATTGACGTATCGGTCCATTACATGATTCAAGGCATGTTGTGAAGGCCTAGCAAGCGGACACAGCAGGCACATGCCGTACCCTAGACTAGACAGCGCATTCGTTCTTCGACGTTGGATGGCCTCCTTTGGTGTTGGGCTTCTTTGAAGCTGCAAAGATGGCTCGGCCCCGGGAGACTGGAACCCACATACGGGTCAATATGTCACGGCGTCCGTATCGGGCTCCTCAGCTCCCTTCGACATTGAAACGGGCCTCACCGCCGGTGCAGCATCAGCACCGGCTCGGCTACGCGGATGGGATCCCCATGGCTCTGGGAATACAAACGCGAGGGACGCTGCAGCCTGTGTCCAAGACTACACGATGTCCACCAAATGTTGTCCCCCTTAAGTGCAACAATTCCCATCTCATCTTTTGCCTTAGACTTCCCCGGAGCCCGCGTCTCACTGCCTGAAATGTGTCCCAAGCAAACATTATGCTGTCCGCGGAGCATCATGCCCCAAGATCCCTATTTTCCGAACTCCGCTGCCCTGGTGTCGGGCCTGAGACGGGTACACCTTCACGACCACGGGTGCGCCAATGCTCGGCCGTAGCACGGGACGATGCGAGTCAGTCGCTTAAAATCCCCCAACCCGGCCGGAGGACGCTCGCCGAACTCAAGGATGGACTCTTCGCGATATTGGTTGGGATCCTTGCCCACCTGTTGACAGTGGGCATCCAGCATGTGCTAGACAAGGGAGAAGTCAACTTTCCACCCTCGATCGTGGGGATGGTTTGTGTATTTGCTATTTTCTGGGCACTTGACTGGGTCGTGTCAGGAATGAACGAGTTCTACCAACAAAACCTGAAGCCTGCGGTGAGCTTGAGAGTTCTAGAGTTGCTCTTGAACTGCTTCCAAATACTGACTGGCCAGGCGGACTTGCTGAACCGTCATATGTCCATTGGGTTCACAGTACCCTTCATTATGATATGCCGGAGCCCGTTCTCTGATGCCCGCACGGTCGGAATGGTCATCGTATGCTTCAGTAAGCAACATGCAGGCCCTAACTTCGAGGACATATGGCTGATACTCGACAAGTTCTAACCGGAGTCGTCAACACTTTATCCACCTACGCCCTTGCGTTCCCTCTCCAGTGGCTGATGGTTCGTTGGAGTAGAGACTCACGGTCTCGTAGGACACCGTCAGATACTGAATCGCCTTGCGAGGATAAAACGGCCCAATTTGGAACGTCTTCCCTGTCCTCTCGCGAGGACTTCCCAGGGGATACCTCCCGCGCGACCAGCACTCATCTCCCCGGGGATATACTCCCTTCCGAAGGGTTCAAGTCACCTTCGCCGACCGCAAAAACAACTCCCGATCACGACAAACCCCCCATCAAGCCTCGCCTGCTCGCCTGGACGCTCCGCAACTTGACGCTCCTCTTCTCCTGGCTGATCACGCTCACCACCGGCCTGCCGCTGCGCTACTGCACGCAGAATGACACTTTCCTCGCAACACAGCTCCTCTTCTCGCTCTGGCTGTCCACCCTAGCCGTCCAAGAGGGCATCAAATGCACCCCTTTCCTCGGCCCGAAGCCACGCACTCTCCTTTCCGGACTCCTCAACCCGGTCCTGTGCACCTCTCTCCTCATGATCAGCTATCTCGTCCTGGACGGCGTCCTAAGTGACCGTCCGCTGCAGACGATGCTCGACACGCTCTCCACCGTCACCGTCACCACCGCGCCTCATGCTTCAAACCCGCCTCCTCCATCCCCTTCCCCTTCCCCTCCTTCTCCTCCGACAACACTACTACCAACAGCCGGACAGATCGCCACGAGCGTTCTCAACGCGGGCCTAGTCGCTTGGGGTTTGAAACTGTACGAGTACCGCCGCGTGGCTCTGTTTGCACGGGGCGGGGCGACCGTCGCGGCCGTGTCGGCGCTGCTGGCGCTGGGCAACCTCGCTTGCGGCCCCGCCGTCGCCCGCGCGGTGTTCGGCGTGTCCCCTCCCCCGCGCGCGCTGGCCTTTGCCGCCCGCAGCGTCACACTTGCACTCGCCGACCCCGTCATGGCTTCCCTGGGCGGCGACGCGGGGCTCAACGCGGCCATGGTGGTTGTCAGCGGGATTTTGTGGCAGATTGGGTTGGGGTTGGGGTGGGGATTGGGATTGGGATTGGGACCGGGATCTGGGGCTGGGGCTGGGGGGGTGGTATTGGACGGTCGGCGAGTTGAGGTTTGTAGAGAGGCTTGTGGTGGGTGCTGCGGGGAAAAGGATGTGGACGGCGCGCATCTCCGATGTGAAAGTGACGATGACGCGGGAGCAGTGGTGGGTGTGAGGGGGAGGAGTGCTAAGGCGAAGCAGGACCTGGCAGGGTGCCCGGAGGATTGTCGTCGCGCGAATGATCCGCACACTGTCGCGGCCGGAGTCACGGTCGGTATCAACGCCGCCGCGATGGGTACAGCCTACCTCTATGAGGCACAGAGTGACGCGGCGCCGTACGCGGCGTTATCCATGATGGCACTGGGTGTCATGACGGTGGGGTTTTCGGCGATCCCGCCGCTCACACGGTGGGTTGTTCAGAGTGTCTCTGCTTGAGGAGCTTCGGTAAAAAGGATGGACGCTACCTAGGTTGGGGTAAACATTGATGAAAGAGACCAGGAGCAGAAGGAAAGGAGGGTTGCGGGACCCTATGGCATCTCGAGCAGCCGATCTTGGACCACCATGGACTCCATGGACACCATGTACCCTTCCCTCATCTGGAGCGGTCTTGGTATCGTTCCCGGCTGCTTGTTCATGGCTGACTTGTAAACATATTCTCGGTTTCATGCGCATGTCACGCTGTACTTGATGCGTGGGCGGCGTATGGCCAACGGGGACTGAGTTTGAATATATTCGGAACTCTTGTTGGGTGTATCATTTCTGCCTGTACAATAGTTATGCAGGCCTTTAGGCGGTCTTTATCTCTGCTGACAATCGATGTCATCCAGCAATTCCTATTCCTCGGTCGTCTCCAAGATGAATGCCTCTTCTTGCGGCGGACGGCTTGTTGCACAAAACATACCCCCTTGAGCCATTTATTCGAGCCTAGCCCACACGTCAGTAACCTCCGCAAAGCACACGACAAATCAACAAACCTCTCAATGAGATGCAGGCCACTCGCAGTGTCAACGACGCCTGAAATCTCCCCCGGACGCAGCGCGAAAGCAGCATCCTCAAACTCCTTTTGCATGTCGCCGCGACCGAAATATCCTAAATCACCCTGCTTGCGGGCACTGCTGCAGTCCGATTCAGTCAAGGCGAGCTGGCCAAGCGAGATTTCGCCGCTCTTGATCCGCTGCTCGTGGCCCTTGATTATCTCGAGCGCCTCTTCCTTGCTGCGAGTGACCTGCGCCTGTTTCACCGAAATCATTAGCTCTAGCCAAATCTTTGTCAGTCTCTGGACGCCCGACTAACCTCCCTCCAGCTTGACGGGCGTCGGCTGTCCCTGTGTTTGACAAGAAGATGCGCGGCCCGGATCTTGCCCGGTTGCCTATCCTCGGCGGCCAGGGGTCTGCTATGATACGTCGCCATGTAGACCTTGAGTTTCTCCGTGTCGGTCCCCGGCGGGGGCTCCCATCGCGAATCCTTCCCGGCCGCGTTGAAGTAATAAGGGAGGTTCTTGCTCTGGCTGTGACGAACCTCCCAGCCTGGCGGAAGTCCGGTCTCCGGCTGCTGCAAGCGGCGAGCCATGATATGTCAGCGTCTAGCAAAAGTTGGGAAAATGCGCGAGAAAGGAAAAGCGGCACGAGTATAGCGTGGTCCGGCGACTCAGTGAGGGTCCAGTGTCTTCGGCATCACTCACGTCGCTCATGGTTGTTCCGGCGGGGCTTTCCGGTGATTTCAGGTAGCCAGCCCTTAGCAACAGCGGAAGTCTCCAATCTTTGTTTCTTTCGCTCGACTAGTGCACTCGTGCCTAGTAGAGCATAATGTGGATACGACTCAGAAGTCCAAGACGGCCAAAGCAGGAACAAGCAAGTATATGTCCGCGACCGGGGGAGGAACGCTTTGGAGGATATGCAAGAGCAAGCGATGACGACAAGGGGTATTTAAAAACCAGAGCCGGCTGAAGTGTATGTGTAGGGTATGGGGTTGCACCGTTGCCGTGACACCGAATCCTCTGGATGCGGATTGCGGAGTGCAGACAACTGGGAACTGGGAGGGTGAAAGGCGGGGTGGAAGGCAAGAGCGATGTGGTGGGGCTTCGAGATGGAGATTTGGAAACCTTGGCGCCTTTGACGCCCCATTGTTTCTGTGGAACTGGCTGAAGATTCCACTCAGGCCCTGTCACACTGGCCAAACCCCCGCAGGCACCAACACCAACCCGCAGTCAGGTGCCCCACGTGTGGCAGCTGCTTCATGTACTTTTTCATCACGAGGCCTAAACCCAAAATAAGCGCGGAATATCAAGGAGGGTGTGATAATGTAGACGATACTCCGATACCTTCTCCGTTGTTCCTGGATCGAAGGAAGCGATCAATTAATCAATTCTAGTGTTACGCCTTTGTGAGTCCGGGAGAGCTGCAAGTAACCGGCTTGGCAGGCTGCGTTGACAGGCCAAGAGACTTCGGTGGGGTTTCGCCAGGTGGCGCACATGCGTTTGTGGATCGGCGCTTGCCCTTCAAATGGGGCTGCTGATGGAGCAACAACCTACGGACCTGACCTGATGATTCTTCTCAGTCAACAAATTATCATCGACAATATCAGCCTACGCTCTATCTAAATCTTCCCGCCCATCCAAAGATCGCCTCACGATCCTTTCTCCTGTCACCCTAATACGGTTCGCTACAACAAGGTAAATTCATCCGACGAGTTCAGGAGCTCAAAGAATTCACCTGGCCATAATTCTACCCAGGTTTCTTTATTAGCAGATCATCATCACTGCAAGCAACACGCATACCCCTCCTTCTTCTACCTTAGGGCCTCAATCACTACCGACGCGTCGAGCGCAGCTCCTAGCCCAGCGACTGCGTAGCAAACATCCCAACTGCCTCCTTGCGGTATCCCGATCCGTGCCCATTCCGGCGATTCTCCTTCCGGCTGCCGCAACCCAACCTTGCATCGACGTTGAACATGTCATCTCCGGCTGCCTCGGCGTCGGGCGGCGACAGCCACGGCGAAAAGAAGCCCCTTGAGCAAATCACGTTCCGTTTCTGCTCCGAGTGCAGCAACCTCTTGTATCCCAAGGAAGACGAAAACGAGCACAAGCTCATGTTTACATGTCGGACGTGCAAATTCTCCGAGGAGGCTACGTCAAGCTGCATTTACCGCAACGTTCTCAACAACGCCGTCGGCGAGACAGCCGGCGTGACTCAAGATGTCGGCAGTGATCCTACGGTGGGTACAAATTCCGTTATTCCTAGCGAAGGGACGTGTGAAGACGGGGACTCGACCGCCTCAGCCTATGTCTGCTGCCTGTGCTGCGGCGCCTTGATTGTTTGCGAAGTGTGCGGCGATCATCTGGCCATTCTCCCCAGCGACGGCGGAACCCACGATCCGGACGAAGACGAGTGCCAGCTGGCAGGATTCGATTCTGAAGAGGAGGATATACGTGTCTGGAGCATGGACAACGACGAGGACCTCTCCTCCTTCATGGCTCGGACTTCAGGATTCTTTGGTACCTGGACGGACCAGCTTGAGGATGAAGAGATGGACATGGACGACGAACCCAACGATGGACGACCTGGCTCGATCGGCTACGGACGCGAATCTCTTGCCGCCCTTGCGCCAGGCTTGGCTCATTGAGACCTATGATTTCGACCAGTCTCTGACTTACGATTCTCCCGCTGATACGAGTTGGGAGTCGGGCGGACCAACATTTGGGCGAGCAGACATTGGCAGCGGCGCAGAAGGAGCATTTGGACTGTTCCCTTTCCAAGGGCCTTGGACTGCCTGCTAGGAAACCCTGGCTGACAACCTGTCTCTATGCTGTAGCTGCCAAGGTCGAACCGCACCTGCCCTGCGTGCAAGCATGACGAGGCTGTCTTTTTCCAGTCGCAGCAGCGGAGCGCTGAAACGGGAATGGTGAGCAACCTGTCCGTGGATCACATCAACCTCTTCGATACTGACCAGCTCTAGAAACTGTTTTATGTTTGCTGCGAATGCGGCAACATCTTCCAATAGGCGTTGGTTCAAAACATTTGCATGCCTCGGCGTTTTAGGATCGGGGGCTCCGGCGTGGAATATGGGTTCGGCAGCGTGGTATAGCGTTCTCTACAGAATCAATGCATGTACCTTCACGGAAGACATGGCCACAGCTATAAGGCTCGGGGATATCCGTATGTGTCCGTTATGAAATTTGTACAAGTAATATGTATACATGACTCCGAATAACGCCCATCTGATGCATGCGGGATGATGCTTCATTGGAAGCCCTCTTGTGCGCCCACTCCTGACCGCCATCTCCCCGTGAGGTCGGAAAAAAGGCCGTTGAGCCGGGCGATTCTCGCTCGAGTCTATGCCTGCATCGGCGCCATGCTGAGTATCTTGCTCCACTTCTTCTTCCGCAGCTCTTGTCCCACAACCCCGTTGACCCGAGAGCCGATGGGGTCTCCAGCCCTGTTTATCAGGACGCACGCGTTGTCGTCGAACTTGATAACGCTGCCGTCTCGTCGCTGGACTCGCTGTTTTGTCCGGACAACCACGGCGTGCCGCATGTCACCGCGTTTGACCTTTGACGATGAGGAGCCGCCCATGCCCTCTCCCGCTGAGGGTCTCTGTTTCTGTACGACAACCACTATCCTGTCGCCTGCGAAAATGCCGGTCAGCGCAAGTCCAGGAGTCTAAGATCGGGGGCCGAGTGCGTACCGATGGATGCGTGTCGTTTTTGGCCGACAATCATGGCGCACTCGACAACCGCGGCGCCGGAGTTGTCGATGCAGTTGAGCATCGTCTGCGAACCAGCCTGTCAGCGAGACCACTTTGTAACGTAGCATAATCACAAACCTTTAATTGAATCATCTTGGCTCGACCGACTCCAGCACGGCGCCGCAAGTAAAGATGTTGACGATGGGACTTGGAGGACGAGTCTGGGTCCAAGAACCAACTGCTGGCCAATGCCGAGCCTTGGAAAATTGATCGCGCGGTGTTTATTGTTAGCGCGCGAGGCTGACCAGCCTCGATTATTCACCAATCAGAGGGCTTCTGCAAGCTCTTTAACTCTCTGGTCTTGGCTTGCAGGGGGAGCGAGGATCTAACGTTCAGTTCGTGAACAATTGCGGACAGATGGAGAGTTGTATCGATACCACCACTCGTGAGAAATAACCTACATCTACTCCATATACTCTATACAGAAACAGTAGCCTGAATATTCGTAGAGCAGTCCTTGCGAGGCTGGAGTCTTTTATTTGCGCGTACGAAGTATGATTTAAAAGCAGCAGACTCAACCCGAACTGGATCTGTATTGAATCCACTTGTTCCTGCGCGGTTGGGGGTCTTGCTTTCCATGTTGCGCTGGACTCGCCTAGCCACCCGAATTTCCACGGCAACAACATGCCCGTGGAAGGAGTTGAATGCAATTCCCTGCAATCCCTCCTTCCTGCATTTCCCAATCCCATTCGTACTTCGTTATCACCTTCCACAGTCATTCCTCCGTCTGCGCAACTCAGAATTTCCGTGATTTAGCGGACAAAGACGACTGCATCATCCTCCCATTCTTTTCGCTGTTCTTACCTCTCCCCAGTTCGGAATTCCCTTGGCCGGCCAGTCAAGCCGTCAAAAACCCGACAGCTTTACCTAACTTTACCCTTGTAACAATTCCTCGGGTACCGGCCAGTGGTTGTCCGGACATATGACGACAGTCCGCCTGGCCGACAACCGGTTTCCATTGGGCTGCTAATTCTAAATATTGGAGGGTGTCCTTCCCTTTGCGACGCCCCGTTCACACGTCGAGCGCAGCTGAAGGCTGAGGTGAGCGCTTGCCATTGCATTCGGCTCGCATCTTGCGACCGCCCCAGCCGCTGCGGGCTTTGCCCCGTTCGCTGCTCCGTCGCATCGGGGAAGGGGATTGCTTGGACCCTCTTGTCGCATGAAGAAGGTCGTGCATGGAAAGCTGACCGTCGTCCGTCCCTTCGCTTCGCAGCGCCGGCTTTGCGCATCCACTCCTTTCAACCTGGTTTTATTTTTGTTCACCGGCACAGGTGGCCGCCAGTTTGCCATCACCCCAACAGCCATTCAGTCCCCATCTACGACCGCATCCTCGACCTTTTGCGCATGCGACAACACTGCACCCTCCGCTACGTGAAGTTTGGGCGACCATGACCCGGACGTCCACGCCCACGGGCAAGAAGCCCCGGCTCACCCTTGCGCAGCTTGCTGCTTATGATGACATCTTGACGGATGCGCTCGTCGACCATGTGAGATCCCCTAACTCAACTCATAATTGAGATCCATGAGGTTAACGCCGATCAACAGGCATTCTACTGGACGACAATTCCCAAGAACCGTAACTCTTACCACCCTTCACGCGGCATCAAGGAGGATGAAATTACCAAGATCATCCAGACGCATCTTATCGTCAACCCGGAACCTCTTGTCGCCGAGGAGAAACTGCTAGCTACCGATGGATTGAGAAGGTTTTACAGCTCACTTAAAACACCCAAGGAGAGGGACGACTTCAAAGCGCACCTTCGACGGTACATGTCAATCTATCTTCCGGACTGCCCGTTCGAGGTCAATGCGACAAATCGGTACACCATTGTCACATTCGAAGCCAGCATAACTGCGCGCCGATACATAAAGCGCAATGAGACAGTTAAGTACTTGACTGGCATCCAGGTGGTGATCACGCCAGAGGAGGAGGCCGAGATGGCTCTGCGCAAAAAGGATTTTAGTCTCGTGGTGAGCAGCCGGAGCAAGTCGACCAGCTTGTTCATGGGTCCCGCTAGATTTGCAAACCATGACTGCAGAGCAAATGCCCGGCTCGTTACTTGCGGCCAGGCAGGCATCGAAATCAGGGCGTGCAGGGACATCGACGTTGGGGAAGAAATCACCGTTACGTACGGTGAGAGCTACTTCGGCGAAAACAACTGCGAATGCTTGTGCCAGACGTGCGAGGAAAATCTGGCAAATGGCTGGAAACCTTGGGACGCGGCCAACTCAGTTCAGAAGAGCATTGAAGAAGACCTGACTGTCGTTGCTCAGGGCTACTCATTGCGCAAACGGAGGAGGGACGAAAGCTCTGCCGGCCGGAGTTCTCGTACTCCGTCAGTTACGCCCGACATCCGCCCACGCATTCTCAAGAGGCAGCGAAGCCAGAGGATGATGGGAGACAGGGCGTCAACGACCGACTCTACAGAAGTTGACCGGATGGACGGCCCTTACCCTGGCCAGAAGCGCCATTGGGAATCTCTCGGGACACCGCCCGTCACACCTGCGAAACGACTTAAGACAAGCCATTACGAGGTCAATCCAATTCCGTTACCCTCAGCCATGTCAAGGGGGTGCTCGGACACAGAGACTTCTCGTAGCCCGTTTTCGTCGGAATGCGACAACGGTGATATGACCGAAGCGACTTCTCCCGAAACGGAAAACCCCGACCCTCTCATTCCGTCACCGGAAATGACGCCGGCAAAGCAGCCTGTCGAGACTCTTAAGCGGGAAGAGAGCACCAGCGCGGCTGAGGATCCGGATCAAGAGCAATCATTGGTGGTCCTTCCGAAAACGGAGAGCCTTAGTTTCCCCGAAGTCACGATCCTCGATTCTGCGACACAAGGCAGCTCGAGGAACCCAGGAGAGGCGGGTGCGCTCGATGGCGATGCACCTTGTGCAGGATCTTCGACCGTCAGCGTTCTGGACGACAAGTCCACGCCCAAGGCAAGAGCATCCAGGGCGAAATCGAAACAACAAGATTCTCGACAGGACTTACCTGACCCTGCGGGCAAACGGCGGACTCCGGGTGATTACACCTTGACACCTGTCCTGCTTTCAGAACCAGAGACGGCGTGGGTTCACTGCACCAACTGCAACACTGCATTCGTGCAGAGAGATGCCTACTTTACAAGGGCCAACTGTTCCCGATGCGAACGCCATTCTAAGCTTTACGGCTATGTCTGGCCAAAGACGGAGCCTGCTGGACCAGGTGACAAGGAAGAGCGTGTGCTTGATCACAGGACAATCAATCGCTTCCTAGGGCCCGAAGACGAGGCCAAGGTTCGAGGCAGGAAATCTTGGAGGGAACGGTTGGGTTCGCGGAACGAGTCGGTTCAATCTTGTGAGCAGGCAGAGGAACGTGGACGAGCGAGGGTGAGGAATAGACAGGGCGACGAGCCCGGGGCTAAAACCACGACCCCTAATGGAGTCCGCCGTAGTGGGAGGGCTCGGAGGGCGAGTACTAAAGCTTCAGCGGACTGACTCTTAATATGGTTTTGCGGGCACCATGCTGTCAGCATGTGCATGGCCTCATCTGGGTCTTGGGAAGGAGGATCATGGGAGGACTCTATGTGACGGAAGGCCGCAGCCTTCCCCTCGGCATTGGGATGCACGATACTAGTACCGAGTACTCCAGTGCCAATAATTATAGCTTAGCTGCATCTCGCACTAAATAAAGTACCATAATCCAGTTGTGCAGAGCCTCTCTCCTAAGTTTGCCTCTGCTCATTTCGACTCCACTATCTACAGGTTCGGTGGACAAACCCGACGCAGCAAACGCAATTCGCTTGATTGAAGCTCGGTTTGTTGGCCCAAGCTCCTTGATTAGCTTACCCGCCCCCAGCATTATTGCTCCACTTGACCCCTGGTCGCTGTGCCAATTCGTCTTGGCAGCAAAGCCCCTCGAAAGTCGAAACCAAACTCTCCATTTTTCGCAGCTACAACGTCTTTTGCGACGGGAGCCTTTTCGCTATTCAGCAGAACTACCTTCGTAGTTGCATTCAGTATTTCTCAATTCTCACCCTCTTTCAATTGCGTTCAACGCCGGCTTCAATACAAACCAGGGAATTGATTGTGCACATTTCGTCGCACGTCCGTAAAATTTCACACTCCTTGCTTTCGCAGCCGTCCTGCGAATCGAGTCTTTAGTCCGAACCAATCAATTCGTCCGATTCTCAACTTCACAATGGCGGACAGCTTCAACGAGGAGACCATGGTCAAGGATGCACCCAGAGGCGCGGCTGCCGACGTTGAGATGGCCGAGGGCGAAGCCGGCGCCGCGAGCGAAAACCCCAACGCCGAGCTTCCCTTTGCTGAAGGAGGCCCCGAGGACGCTCCCGCTCCGCGCACCACCTTCCTGCAATACCTGACAAGCCCCGTCGTTACCCTGCTTGTCGGGTCCGGCGAGAATGAAACCATCCTCACGGCTCACCAGGGTCTGCTCACCCGGAGCCCCTTCTTCGCAGAGGCCTGCGCCGAGTTTGTTGACGATGGTAGCGTGCGTCAATCCCTCACTTCCCTAGCCTCGAAACCCCCGCTATACCCAGAACCGACTGTGTGACGCTTGAAACAGCCTCGCCAGATCGAGCTCCCCGGCGAAGATCTCGACGCCATGGGCTGCTTCCTCGAGTTCCTGTACACGGCCGACTACTTCCCCAGGAAGGTGCCCGGGCAGCGCACGCTCGAGAAGGACCCCTCGACCCCCGAGGTGGACATGACGGGCGAGCAGCTCCTCAAGCATGCTAAGGTCTACACCCTTGCGGACAAGTTCGGCCTTACGCACCTCAAGAACCTGGCGTCGAGCAAGATCCACTGCGTCAACTCGACGGCCAAGGGCGAGATCGCCTACGCCCGCTACATCTACCAGTTTACCCCGCCCACCGACACGGCCATCCGCGTGCCTGTCGCGAATTTCTGGGCCACGCGCAGTCACACGCTGCGCGCCGAGGCCGAGGACGAGTTCCGCGACTTGTGCCTGCAGTTCCCCCAGTTCGGCTACGACGTGCTCAGTAAGTTCTCTTGCCTCCCCCTTTGCAGAGTCCTGTGTGTAGTTCGCTCTGCTAACGGACCTCTCTCTCTCCTTCTACAGCCCGCGTGCTCGACGACAAGCTCAAGCGCGAGCGCAACGAGAAGATGCACCCCGGCGCCCCCGGCAGCGCGCGCAAGCGGCCCCGCCACAGCAGCACTACCCAGGCGTAGATCGCGCAATGAACGGAGAGGAAGAGAACGCGAAGCAATGGAACGCATATGCGGTCGCCGATCTCGGGTTCTTTTGCGTTGGACATTCCGGCGTGTTATTGCGATTTTCTTGCGACCTGGTGGTCTGTTTTCTGCTTTCGAAGCTTGAGCTGGGTATAAGGTTTCTGGGCTTACCAGTTTGCAAGTTGGCCAGGTGAAGCACCTTGCCACATGCCATTGCCGCTACTAGGCGCCCTCAGGAGATGGATTGATGGTTTTCAAGGGCGCGGGATAGTTCTTTCTTGAGGTCTGCTTCGTCCTGGGATCCGGCTGGGGATCCACTCGCTCGGGGAAGGGAGGGATTGCTTGTGAGTAATCAGCCTTTGCTAAGGCAATTCGCATTGGGTCGTTTCGTTAAGGTGTATTATAGGTCTTGTACGAATAAACACTCTATCTGAGGTACCCATCATCGTTGATGCGATACGACGATGCGCCGATAATGTGAGCAATGGTCTGTTTACTTATGGTGGCATCGTCGTTGGAGCTAATATAGTATGGCTGTTTTGCTCATTTCGTCACTATTCAATAGCCTGCCCGGCTAGCTCAATCGGTAGAGCGTGAGACTCTTAAGGGTTCTCCGTAATCTCAAGGTTGTGGGTTCGACCCCCACGTCGGGCTCAATTCCCGATCTGCGATCATTTTTTTGGTTTTATTTTTTTTTCCCACTCTTTTTATCGTCTTTAGCTCTGTCGATAGCTGAGGTAGCTTGTTGGAATGCAGAAAATGCAGTAGTGTTACTGCTTGCCTGCGGTCAAATGCTAAGGAATACAGTAACCGTATAGTTGTCACAATGTTCGAAGAGCCACCTATACCGCACACCACCACTGCATGCAGGGACACTATGATGACGGTGTCTTGAGTACGAAGATGGAGAGCGGTATAAACTGTTATCAAAATTGTCCTTAGGAAGAGGATGGCCCAAGGCCTTTTTTTGTATTTGATGTTACCACTAAAAGGATCCAGATGTTCAAACCAGTTCTTGTCAAGTGTTGTGACTGTTCACTGTTGTCCCAAAGCAGGCTATTCACCCATTCACTCCTAACAGTACAAGACCAGGAGATCACTGGTACCAGGCAGCATCACCGTGGTTTCCAAAGCCATCAGGAGAATTCTTCAACGCTCTCCACATCCAGCCTAAGATCCCAAAGGATGGCTTGGCTACGCTGCACAGTGAAAGGCAACTAGTAGTGCGAAACTGCGAGCTCGTCTGAAGGTATAAGCTTTAGAGACAGAATCATGAAAAGGAAGGCAAGGGCAGTAAAGTCAGACCCGAGATATCGAACAGAACTCGCTCAACTTTTCACTAGCAAATCGAGAACGAATTGGTATCAACAACACCAGTTAACTCGCTGTCGAGGCCTCCCAAACTCTGAGAAAGGGTCCTGACCCAGATTCGCAGATAGACATTGCTGGGTAGCGGCTTGAAAACTGGGATGGATGAAATCCCGAACTCCAGGGTTCTTGTGCCGTTCCGGTGTTCCTTGGTAGACCAGCCGAGAGGGTCGGTTCCTGCTCTGTCATGCTCGGCGAAGAGAGCCACAGCAGCGAATACCCCGTCTCTGGGTGCCTCTGGCAGCGTGGCCCTCACCACCATGGCCGGTGTTATGAGCAGGGGGTCAGAGCTCTGTATGCTCCTTGGTGGCTGCACGTAAACAGTAAGCGTTGCCATGTTTAGCTCGATGGTGAAGCCTGGAGTGGTCAGAGGCTGGACACTGGGGTGTTCCTTGAAGTTGCCCTTAGCCAGACGTTCTTTGGGCATTTATTAGCTGAATTAGCTGCTACTTTCCTCTTTATTCAGTTTTTTCGCTGGTTACGAGAGACATCGCCCCGTTTACTTCTCCAGCGTATCACATGCCTGAGATTACCAACCGAGCCACGACTCGCGGTGGGAATGGTTGAGGAACACAGCTATATCACAGGTGTATCTACCCTGAAACGAAAAATGATGTCGGACAGGAAAGAGGTGATTGCTAATACTCCAAACTTTTGACCCATCCTGCCATGGCGCAACTCAACCTCTATTTCCTGGAGGATCTTGGGCATCGTTATGCCTAAAGATAGTACGAAAAGCGCCAGAATGCAGCTTCAAACTGCCCTGATGTACATCCGGTCAGTACTCAGAGTTGTGTTAGTAGCTCTGAACGTCCGGGGAAGTGCATATGCTCACTTCTTACTCACCTCATGACAGAGTGCATTCGAATGTTGCAAGGACTGTCTAGATGAGGGCGTCTTTGGCTCGTATAACTGAATGCTTGGATACTAACATATCGAATCTCCGAGCCTGATTTTGGACAGGGCTCGCGGCTGGTTCGGGTCTACGAGTCCCCAAACCCGATTCACATTATCAGCTACTAGTAACCGAGTGTGTTTTGTAGTCGTGTTACCTACTAGGTAACCCCATCCATGGTATGAATCAGATAGTGAGTTTACTAGTAATCAACCGACCAGGAGCGAGACTCCATGCCTGCAACCCATACCACATGATGTCCCACCAGTCATTCCATGCTTAGATAAAGAACATAAATCATCAATTCGACTGTTGTCAGAGGGAAATGCCCTGTTGCTCGTCTCCGAGTCCGAGTTAGGTAGTGTAGAATGTTCATGAGACCACACCACATACAATGTCCACATACAATGTCAACTACTTCATGATTCATGGGACTCTAATTCGAGTATTGGATATGCCATGAACTGACTTACCCAGATTTGCCACTATTTCCTTGGAAAGCAAAGATCCTGAGGAAACTGGGTCATTAGCAAGAACTCAACCGCCTGGACTTCTTCAGCCCCTGAATCCTTTGTGGTATGGGCCACGGATAGAACGTACGCTAACAAGATGCCGTGGATAACGTCATGGCGGGATATCGTTACTCCATCTTTTCTCAGATTCCAGCTACATACCCAGCTCAAACACACTAGCAGACATTGGATGCTGCCGGATGCTATTGTAAGAGCAGCTTTTCTGGGCCCTATGCAAGGATCTGATCTATTTTTGACGCGCGGAAGAAGGAGATGGCACTGTACCAGCTGGAGTTGGGAAGAGATGTCATGTCTTACCCATCCTGATAGGAACGAGGAGTGGAGGTGCTTGTGATAGACAAGCGATACGAGTTTCTTGCATACAGGGTGTGGAAGTAAGGTATCTCGGTGTACGTGTGTCGTGTGACGAGGCCAGTGAACCAGAACACACAGCGAGTAAAACAAGCAACGAATACGAGGTAATGATGGTGCCATCTTACGGGCGACATGGCAATGAACATGGCAATCAGCCAAGATGGTCAACGAGACTGAAGCAGATAACGAAGGACCATGGACTTGCTGACTGGACTCTAATCTGGAAATAAAGCGTTGGAAATTACCGGTACCTCTTAACTTAGTACAAACAGCCAATTGGCTCTATAACGTGAACGAACCTTTCAGCCATGCCGTCGTCATGCCACGGAATGAACGTAGCAAGATACGCTAAAAAGTGTTGAACAGAGAAATAACCATACAGATCCCATGAACCACTCCCATGTTGCTCGCCAATCCGCCCACTTTAGTGAAACAATACAGAGCAAGCAATAGCCCCAGCCGTCATACACGTCGTTCCCCCTAAACCTGCTGCAAGAACTGCATAACTTTCTCCCTCTCCTCAACTGGCATGACGCGCAACACATCGCGCACCCCTCTCCAGCCAGCACCCTGTGAGGGATCCCCGCTCGAGCTGCTGCCGGCACGAATGAGGTTCTGCATCTCGGCGGCCAGGGCTTCGGCCCTGAGATTCTCCGCCTTCTCCTGGATCAATTTCCGGTTCTCTTCATACCACATCGCCACATCCCGATCGTTCTTTCGGAAGTCGGGGATGCCGCTCCACGCCTCAAGGATGTCAAGGTGACGTTGGCGATCCTGAGGGGGAACGGAAGTCATAGAAGGCGTGGCTCCCTTGCCGGCGGGAGCGGTTGCAGCTGCGATACGCCGGAGAATGTACTCCTCGTTGAGCCTTCTGCGCACACGCCAGTAGAAGAAGCGGCGAGCCTCACGCCACTCCAAAACCTCTCGGATGACACCCTTGGCTTTCATCCGCCCAGCGCGGTCGTGCAAGTCAGCAAACTGCAAGCTGATCTGGGCGTAGACGGGCAGAAGGTGCTGCTCCCGTTCAGTCATCTTTTGTTTGATAGCATCCTTCTCTTCCTTTGACAGACTATTGTCCGCGATCTGCTTCTTGAGACTGGCATAGAGCGGGTCCAGGCGAGCCATCGTCTCCAGCTGCTTGTCCTTGCGATACTTGATGCCGATGATGCCTTCGGGCTCCAGCACACCGCCCCGAGCCTCCACATCTGCGTACATCTCCATGGCCACCGGGTTGATAGTTGGATCGACGACGACCCACGATCCACCACGAAGTTCGCCAAACGGCGGGATGTAAATGAAGACGGGCTGCTCGAACTTGACCAAGGCATCCACAATGAAGGAGCCGTACTTGAGGACCTCGTTATACATGTCGCGCTGGCCGCCAGAGAAACCGCGCCAGTTGGCCAGGATCATTAGTGGCAGCTGCTCGCCATTGTTGAAGTCGTTGATGGCCTGAGCCGTCTTGAACGCCGAGTTGGGATACCAGACACCGCCGGCCTCGTTGATCACCTGCTCAATCGAATCGGGGTTGGCTGGGTCAGCTGGGGTGACATTCTCCACCGACCTGTTCTCGACCGCGATGACACCCATCGGAATGCCAGCCAGACGGGCACGGCCCACCACCACCGTCCGTGCCCAGCCACCAAGTGTCTCAACGAAGGAGTCCTTGTCGAATAGACCAGGCTGGAAGCCATCGTCGTCCTCCTTGCCAGCAATCATCCATCTCACATCGTAAGGCTGCCTTTGAGGCGGGGTATAGACGACGTCGCGGTCCCATGTATCGATGCTCGGGCTGATGGGTACCGGGCTGTTGCGCTTTTCTGGCACAAAGGAGAGCCATTCAACTATCTTAGACACGCCGGCGAAGTCATCCTCGGCAGTCAAGTGGGAGACGCCGTTACGATACATGATTTGAGTACCGCCGAGCTGGAGGTTGGACGTGTAGACCTCGCGTCCAAGCAGATTATTGAGCGCCGGTGCACCGGTGAGAATGATCGGTTGGCCTTCAATTTGCACAGCACGCTGGCCGAGGCGGACAAGATAAGCGCCGATACCTGTAACAAGTCAATTCGTGATCAAGGGGTGTAAAACTGTCACTCGATCAAGCACTTACCCACTGAGCGGCAAGTAACAAGGGTGCAGGTGAAGATGTCGTTGTAGGCCCTGCTCGTTGCGCCGGCAATCAAACCAGACCCGCGTAAGCACTCAACTCCCAGACCATCCTCAGAGCCGACAATGGTCACGATCTTGTGGCGCTTTTCTCCGTCTTCAGTGATCTCTTCCGTGATAACCTCATTCTCGAACCGACTTTTGGCCGCATCGTCAAGATAGAGGTACTTGAATCCAGCCTCTGGTTTTTGAGGGTCATTCCAAGCCACGTTGAAGTAGGGCATCAGTTCGTTTGCGAGACCCAGGCGCGCACCGGAGTTGGCCGAAAGATAGATGCGAGGAATGCCCAGCTTGCGGGCCAGCTCCGTGCACTTGAAGAAGAAGTTATCCTCCTTGGGGCCGAACGATCCAATGTTGAAGGTGATGTCGTTGGCAACCACGATGAATTTGCGGCCATTGGGGTACTCAGGAGTACGGGCATTGATCATCCATCCAACCATACCGCATGTGTTGGTACCGGGCTCACGGGCAACCTCGGTGAGATTGTCGTGGTCGTCGAGGACAAGCTCGCTGTAGTCAATGCATTCACCAACAGGTGGCTGCTTCTGAGCCATAGCCGGATGCTTCTTGACTGTGTTGGTCCAGCTGTTCTGAATGGCCTGGCGGAAGAGCTCTGGGAAATCGTAGACAAACTGAGTGCCCATTACGTGAGCCTTGTAACGCTTGGGCTGCAGCCAGTTCTTGGTTGGATAGGGCGTCGACACCGGAAGCAAGTGCATGGACCCAATCTTCGTGGTTCCACCAACTGAGTGGAACACCCATTCGCCCTTCTCCGACTTGCGCTCCTGATAAAGTTCGATTTGGATGACATAGCCCGAGGTGTTGGTGATTATGACGCGCAAGGGGTACGCCATACCGGTGGACGGATCTGTGCAAATGATGCGAATTTCGACTTGAGCAACACGCAGCCGCCAGCCGCGAAGGCCAAACCTGTCCAGGAAGCCCTGCAGAGACTGCTCAACCTCCTTCGGTTCTAACTGGAAGACAGGCGTGAAGTTGATGAACATGTGGTTGAGATCCGAGTTTGTGGTGCCGATGATTTCGAGGGCGTCAAAGATATCGTTGATCACACGGTCCGCTTCGGAAGCCAAGTACTTCGCCGTGGGCATCTCGTCATCCCGAAGCCGGCCGGGGCGGATGACTGCGCGGGTGAAGAATCGCCTGTCCGCCTCGACGCCCTTGCCAATACCCTCGTAGACGTGGATGTTCTTGTTTTCGGTGAAAACAGGCGTGATTTTGAACTTGGAAAGGCGTCCCAGTTCGAGCTGGAATGCAAGGGCTGGCTCACAATGACGGATGCTGTCGTCCTCCACGTACTCTGGTCCACGGAACGTATAGTAGCTAGGGTACGACCCGTCATTCCGACCGCAGACAAACGTTAAACGGCGGACGCGGCGAGCTAGGAGCTGCTCCTTGAACTGCAGAACCAAGGGGTGGAGGTCCTTAAGCATCTGATCATCGCTGCGGCCCTCAACATCTCTGATGGCGATGTTCACCACCGATGACAGCTCCTCAGTGGTGTCTGCAGCGGAGGATGCCGCCGGTCGACGTTTGTCGCTGAGATCAGAGATCAAGCCAGGAGTCCCAGGACTCTTTTGACGCAAACCTGTCAACTTCGGAAGGGTCTCCAGCGCCTTACCCAAGACCTCATCCGCGTCTTCCAGATATTTGCAGGGAACAATAACACCCTTCCGCATGGGCTCGTCCTGAGTCTTATGATTCCAGTATGACATGTCGCTGATGGAAGTGATTCGTTTGAAGCTGGCATCATTAGCAATGGCGGGTGATGCGGGGGTAGCTGGTGCAGGAAGGCCGAACTCTGACTGGCCAATCTTGCGCAAAGCGAAGGTCCATGTCAGGAAGGCTGGGATCTGCGCGTCATCCGACTTGTACTCGATCTCTCTGAGATGATAAGCCCGGTAAGCGCGGCGGACATATACCTCCAGAGCAGCCAGAGATACCCAGGGGTCGTCATGAGCGAAGAACAGGGTGAGGACGTCGAAAACGGTGTACGTTGAGTCAACAACCTCCTTGATGTCTTCCAGCTTGGGGGTTCGGTGATTGAATCCCGTTTCGCCGTAGCGATTCTCGACAACCGATGAGCGAAGAATGTGCTCCATTTGCGCCTTCCTCTCCTCGAGTGAAGGCAGAGCGCACTGGATAAGGATCTCGCGGGCCTTGAGTGATACCTTTGCGGTTTGGCGAGACTCCAACTCAGCCATCCGTTGAAGGACAGGCCGAAGATACGGGGCGATGTTGCCGACGTTCGGTTTATTTGGACGGTACTCGTCGAGAATCGCCAGCACTAGTGAGTTCTTCGCCGCAACCCTACTGTGTGAAAGAACCGTCTGGACAACCTTGGAAATGTCGTCCTTGTTCTCGTCCCGAAGCCTCAGGATGGCCTCCTCATCCTGTATGCGGCGACCCGAGAACTGACATTCAACATCTGCGTACATGGATAGGAGGTCCGCGATTGCATTGAGTTCTCGGGCTTTCTGGCCATTGATGTACATGTCAAGCACAGCAGTCAGTGGGGCAAGTGTGGACTTGAGCAGGTTGGCATCGATGTCAGAAGCGATGTTGTCGTCAATGAACTTCTGGAAAGCTTTGACCAGTGCCTTTGCCGGGAACTCGGCATGTCGCTGTTGGGCGCGCTCCAGGATCTGGGTGAACTGGGCATCGAGCTTCTGTGGCATACGAGCGTGAAGCGCCGAGAACTGGGCGGAGAATTCGCTGTAGGGCAGCTCTGGATTGCGGAGCACTTCGATCAGCTCCTTCAGAGTCTGAAGCATGATGACTTGGTTGTCGAAGCCCATGAGGATATTTCGAAGAGTGTTGTACAAGAAGGCGAATCGCTGTGCGGGCTTCTTGCCAACGTTGACAGGATTGCCGTATTCAGGGAGCTGACCCAAGAATGGCTGCGCTTGCTTAACACGGCTCGGGTCATCAAGAGCAAGAATACCCAGGATATCTCCAGCTTCGAGCGTGGCTCCCGGCTGCTTGATGAGCTGTACATAGCCATCCTCCTGGGCAACGAGAGGCATGTACATCTTCATGACTTCGACTTCGGCAAAAGTTTCACCGGCTCTGACATGCGCGCCATTCTCGACAGAGTACTTGACTAGCTTGCCAGGAGAAGGAGTCCGCAACTGTGTGGGGTCATTCTCCTGCTCAAGCAGGCATGTCTTACTGTCGACAGACATGCGCGTAGCTGCCACCTCCTCCTTCCAGTAGACATTGTGGCTGCGACCGTTGAGAAGGATGAGGAGGCCACCGTCGCTGAGCGCACGGACACCGACGGTACACTTGGAGCCGTTGATGAAAAGGTGGTAGCTGTCGGCGCTGGATCGCGTGACGGTGAACTTGTAACGGTATCCCTCGTAGATGAAGTCGACAGGGAATACAGTCTTGAGGATGTCCTTGGACGGCACCTGGCCCTTCTCCAGACCAGCGCGATATTCCGCAATGCAAGCTTCGCTCGCGATGTGAGCCTTGGTAACAGCACCGCAGACGACCGCAACCATGGGGTCGGGTCTCTCGGCTGTAAGCTTCTTGGAGATTAGCTCATCGAGCCAACCAGTCGTGATGGTATTCTCCTCGAAAGCCTCGGTCTCGAGCAGCTTGATTAGGTACTCGACAGTCGTGCGGAAATCACCCCGGATACTGAGCTCCTTCAGGGCAACAACCATGTGTTTCCTGGACGCCGCACGGTTCTCACCGTATGCGAAGATGTGGCCGAACTGCGAGTCAGAGAAGCTGTGGATACCACCGGCCGAGCCGACAGAGAAATAGCCCCAGGCGTTGGAGCTCGAGCGGAAGTTCAAGTCGTGGAGCACACCGTTTGACGGCTTGAAACCCTCGCCAGGATCTTCGGAAGTGATGCGGCACGCTGTTGTGTGGCCCTTGGGCTGAGGTCGCCGTTGGGATTTCTCGCTCTCCGGGTTCTTGAACTCAAAGTCGATCTCGGTGGCTGTTTTGGGATCGACGCCGTAGAGGAGTCTGATATCACGGATGCGGTGAAGGGGGAGACCCATGGCGACCTGAAGCTGCGCAGCAGGGAGATTGACTCCACTGACCATCTCGGTGGTAGGGTGCTCGACTTGCAACCGAGGATTCAGCTCCAAGAAGTAGAACTTGTCGTCAGCATGCGAGTAGAGGTACTCGACGGTTCCGGCAGAGACGTAACCGACCAGCTTGCCAAGCCGGACGGCGGCCTCCTCCATCGCCTTGAAGGTGCTGGGCTTAGCGATGGTGACGGGTGCTTCCTCGATAATCTTCTGGTGCCTCCTCTGGACCGAGCAATCTCTGCCAAAGAGGGAAATGTTGTTGCCATATTGATCCGCGAGCAGTTGAACCTCAAGATGCCGAGCACTGTCGGCCAACTTCATGACAAAAATTGGCGAACCGGGAATCTCGCTGGCTGCTGCCTTGTAGAGCTCCTCGAAGCGTGACTCGTCCATGACTTTCCGGATACCCTTGCCACCGCCTCCTTCTGATGCCTTGATCATGACCGGAAAGCCAATCTCCCGTGCTTTTTCCAGACCTTCTTGCCAGGAGGTTACGCACCCTTTGAGGTAAACGTGATCGGGGACGGTAACGATGCCCTTCTCATCGATCGCGACTTCGCTAACTCCTGACCCAGACCAGGGAATGCAGGGTACGTCGGCGTGCTGGGCAACGATGGTGGACGAAATCTTGTCACCGAGAGACCGCATAGCCGAGCCTGGTGGCCCGATGAAGACAATCTTCTTTGGTGACGCGGCCAGTGACTCTGGAAGTTTGGGATTTTCAGAAGCGTGACCCCTGTTATCTGGTCAGTTCGAATACCCGAATCGCCTGCCGGGGCCCAACTCACCATCCTGCCCAAACAGCGTGCACGTCCATGCGCTCTGCAACGTCCACAATGAGCTCAACGTTGGCGTAATTGTGGTTGTTTGTGCCTCCAGGAACCTCGACGTAGTGATCAGCCATTCGGATGTAGTCAGCATTGGCCTGCAGATCCTCAGGCGTGGCCATGACCGTGAACTTGATGGCTCGCTCGTCGCCAAACGTCTCGTATGCCCATTTCCGTACTGATCGGATCTCTTTGACGGCTGCAATACCATTATTGGCGATAAGGACCTGCCAGAAGGACATTGTTAGCCATACGAACGGTGATACGGGGAAAATAACCCAAGACCAAAATCCTGGCCATGTTTGAGTGGACCTACATTGGTGATTACAGTGTGACCGTCGTGGCTTGCAACGAAATCCTTCACTTTTGACGGAGGAGCGTTCTCCAGGCTGTTGCCACCGATGAAGTGTGCGGGCAAGTTGTGCTTTTCGGCATATGTCGCCTTGCCGTTGGCATGAACGCCGTTCAGGGCGCCGCTACCGTTTGTTTCTGCCATTGCTGCTACCCGCGGTGATGTTGTGGCAGAAAACAAGCCTAGTGTTTTCTAGAGTCTGTTGCAACGGCCGGAGTTCGGCGTCAAACTCGAGACAGGACTGCTGACAGTGGATCGGGGTATTTCCCGAATGGGGGGGACTGTCGGACTCCGATAAAGTTCTGGGGGCTGCAGCAGGTTAACTGGATGCAGCGCTGACTGACTGGCCCGCACTGTCAGCAATCCCCGACTTGGCACCTTGGAACTGGATATGAAGCAATACCGACCTCGATGCTCAGCGACAAGTGCTTGGGGAATGGACCTCTCGATTCGAAATACGCTTGCGCAGCGACCCGGGTATCTTCTAATCGCCGATTATTAGAGAGGGAGAGAGAGAAAGATGGGACCTGGACAGACGTCGAAAGAGAGATGCAAGCAGTTGTTAAAGTCCCGGTGCAGTGTCCCCTACTACAGGAAGGTGCTATGCATGAGCTGGGCATGGAAGAGGAAGGAATGAGAGGGAGAAGACTGGGAAATGGAGGGTTGATGAATGGGAATTTCCGAATTTCTGGTGGGACTGCACCCATGAACATTCTGTTGATGAGCGGCAGGTGGAGCCCAAAGTCGGGATGCAGACAGGGGTCAAAAAAAGTGAACCGGCGCTAACCCCTGTTCGTCCCGCCATTCACCCCGAAATGTGATCCCGTCTTCCCTTGACTTCTTCATCAACCAGCCGAGCCGATGGCAGCACTGCACCATAAGCCAGCGCATCAACTTGCGCGCCGCCACGGCGTTGGGGAAGCCCAGGTACGACAGCCGACACGTGCTTTGTATGAAAATGTCAAGTTTCCGTCCTTGCTCTATATCAGCATAGAACAACCACCTTTCATCCCGAGATATGAGTATCATAACCACAGGCCGGTCCAACATGGATGGTACACTTAGGGAGACCACATTCCCGTCACATTGTCCTGAGTACTTCTACGCCCATATATGTACTGTAGTGCACTTGAACTCGACTGCTTTTAGATAACCGACTTTCGAACAGGCTCCTCGAAACGTGTAGTGGCTGGCAACCTGCCGCCGGACAATGGGCCATCCAGCTATGGCTGTCGGTCAGCCGGCCTTCGGTCAACGCCATCCGACGTCCGAGAGTTGCCGGCCAGCTGTATCGAGAGCATCGTTCTACCAGAATGTTCGGCCGGTCTTTGCCCAGAATGCATGCTTGCGGCCACCGTTCCCGCCCACCTGGCAGACAGTCGATCTCTTCCGTACTGGACTGGTATACAATCCCTTACAGCGGATTTGGGAGCCGCAGTGGTAAATTACATCGTGGGTACCAAAGGCAATCGCACAGCTTCACCCTTTTGCGTCTCATTCCGGGCCTGCAACCTCCTTCGGCTCAGCCAAGCCGTGGGGGAAAGGTGCCGCGTGCAACTGCCACCCCCCCTGGAATGAGAAACATGAACATGGAATTTCACAGAGAAGACGCCAAAATCCAGCCTTTTCCAGGTTCCTACCTTATTAGAGACACAACTCACAGGCCCAATGTTCTGCGCTCCGAAATTTCCCATTCCAATTTTACGCTTATTACTGGACGAAACATAGCTTGTTGAGGGTACCACCGACCCATACGTCAGAGAACCCCAATTGTTGAGTTCCGTCCAGGTCTAGGGATCCCGGTAGGATCAACGACGAAAAAGGCTTAGCGTAGGAACCGGAGCTGGACCCGCAGATCCCCAACATCTTGTCCGCACCCAAAAACTGTCAATTCGGCGGATTAGCGGGGCTTTTCTGTTGGTCTGTGTTTGGACATGGATGATGGAACTGTCGTGTCAACCTGGTATGGATCGTGAAAAAAGCCATTGACGTGCCCAGGCTCTCCACATTGGGCTTCATGTTGACATTGCGGTAGATACGGTAGGCTGTGTGCTTGCTTCCTTTTGTCCGCTTGGGGATTACCCTAATTGAGAACATCGGTCAATTAAGGTCTTGGAAGTTTCAATGGAACCCGGAACCTTACCGAGTAGCCTTCCGCGCACTCCGATATCATTGATCTGGTCTACCTATTCTCGGGTGATAGAGTAGAGTCTGAATGAACAATTTAGAGATTGTTGCTGTCATCATCCAGACCCTCGCCATTTCATTTGGATATGCACCGCCTGCGGGATCGGATCCCGTTCCCGGGAGATGCTGTCGGGCCGAGCCGCCGAGCGCGCATCGATGCGAAGTGAACAAAGATAGATGTGTGTCAGCCGATGGCATCCAAGCCGTACTTAGGAACCCGCTACCTACTCATAATGCTTTCATGGAACCTCCTTTGTCAATCGACCTTATTACTGCGACAGCCGGCAGTTGGGTTTCTCAAGGCCATGCCACGCGTCCCCATCTCCCCGGATACATATTCTACCGTGCCCAAAATAGATGCGCGCTCCAATGGGGAGTGACATGCAGCATCGAAAAAAAAAGCTTGTTCAAACCCCGCGTGCCCCTACATACGCAGTAAAACTGATCACAGATCAGAGATCTCGATCTCGGCTGAGGAGCCGTCGTTGGCATCGAAGCACTGCAGTAGCCGACCCAGCAGGACGGGACCCACAGCGGTTCTGACATCAGAATCGTACGATATTCTGAGGGCGGACGGTCGAGGCCAGCCACAGACGTGCCTTTCCCCTCAGCCCTATCAAGATCCCCAGCGATCTGGTAAGGCTTGCTCTTCTTGGGTTGGCCCGGGGACAAGGCACTGGATTCATCCCATGTGAATGATTCCCTACGGCTGACTTGTGCGAAATGCAAGGCACCCGCTCCAGATGTGGAGGTCATCGGCATGAATCATGATACCAAGCATTAATCCGCCGACACCCGTAATTGTCCCTATTCATAAGCCCTCAGATGCCCCCGCTTGTCTCATATGATCGAAGGAGACCCTGAGGTCTAACGTTAGCAAGATACCTGTAGACACAGCAGACAACCGGACTCGCACGTTAGCAGGATATGTGGATATTATGTAGCAACTGCGATATCTGCTCCATTACCGTGACAGCACTCCGAGTCCTTGAAATACAGTGCAAGGTACCTTAGACAGTAATCCAAAGAGCAAAAGGACCTTTGACGACGCAGCAGCAGACCAGAACGACCAACAAACCCCTCTTATGCTCCCTAGAATATCGGCCATGCAGTGAGCAATGAACAAAAAGAAAACAATGACAAAAAAGACTGAAATCGTCTCGAGCATAGAACCCTCCCTCTTCTTCCTCTTGAAGGCTGGCTCTTGTGCGTAGCAAATAAACAGAGGTATACTTCATTTCGCCGTCGGACACCATCACTCCAGCGGACCCGAGACAGACAGTAGACAACAAGGCCCTGGTGTGTCCAACAAGGCAGAGAAACAGGGCGATTGAGGTGAGCAGAAACAAAAGAAAAGAATTGTATAAGATATTCCGTATCGCCAAACGAAAAAAGAGAAAGTGTTTAGTATCAGTGGTGAGAGTTGGGGTGTTCAGTACGTCTCCCCGACATCCTCCAGTACTCTCGTATTGCCGCTTGTCCTCCTCCCTCCGGCCATGGAGGCCACCGAGGACCCGCTCTGCCGTCGCCCAGCAGGCACGGGGATGGCGCTGGGCAGTGGAATCCCGGTGGCTCCGGCCTCCAGCTCGCTGCGGCTGTACGTCCCCCGCCTGCTGGGCGTCCGGAACTCCCCATCGGGCATCATCCCTTGGCCAAGCTCGTCCTCCTCGGCGGTGATGTAGCTCACGCTCCCGCTGTGGCCGTGGCCTCGCATGCCCAGGCTGCTGCGTGGACGCCCCAGTGGCGTGCGGGTTCCGCTCAGGCTCGCCCGGCTCCCCGGCCGGGGCGGAGGCATGATGCTGCTGCTGGCGTGGGACTCGGTGCGGCTGGCCGGGCGCGCATAGCTCGCTCGGCTGCTGGGCCGTGAGATGTCCGGCTCGACGTTGGTCGGGTTGCGGTTGGGCAGCGGGCCGAACGACAAGCGTGACACGCCGGACGTGCTAAGTCGCGGGACGTGCCGGCTCGTGCCCGAGATGCTGCTGCGCGACTCGGAAGGGGCGTGGCGGGACTGCGATGGCGTCGTTTCATCCCCGGCGGCACTAGAGGTGGTAGATCCGACGGTGCGCTTGCGGCTCCGGATTGTGACGGTAGATGGCACGCTTGTAATCCCTCGGGGCGACGAGCGAGGCGGTGTGGTGGTAGGCGCAGGGAGCTTGGACCGCGCCGAGTGCACACGGGCCTCGAGGCGCTGCATCTGGGCTGTTAGCGTTCGTATGTGCGTGAGTGAGTTTGACGTTGCAATTCGGTGAGGGTTCGCGCGATTCGCCGCTCTTGCCGCCGCGGATCGATTAGCTGGCGTCCGAAGTGGATGTGGAGGCGCATTGGGTGCCGTGCGGGTTGCTCGAGAGGCTGAGGTAGAGCCAGTGTATTGTCGCGGCTTCGGAGTGATGCTGTTGTCGGCAGATGGAAGACGGCTTTTACGTTGCGGCGCTGGTGTCTTGAGCACGGGTTTGGGGAGCGACACAGACTTCTCGGACATTGGAGGCGACGGGGGATCTTGGAGCTCCGAGGCCGTCTCAGCCGTGGATAGCGATTTCGTATCGGGAGGCGTGGTAATCATTGGCGAACTAGCAGTCGAATGCGGAGAGTTGCAAAAGGACGGCGATCCGGGAATGGATATGTCGGTCGAGATGGATGAGAGATGGCGAGCCTCCTGTTTCCTGATTTTGTCCTGCAGAATCTCGGCTTCGATCTTCAGATCTGCGAGTTCTTCCCGCAATCTTTGGTTCTCAACCCGCAACTTCTCCCGTTCTTGCTCACCAGCCTTGATCTCCTCCTCCATCATCACACCTCTCTCGATGGCGACATTGTACTTTGACTCGAGGTCCTCCAAGGACGAAGTGGTATTCCGCGCCTGACGCTCAAAGTCATCGTTGGCCACCTCTATGTCACGCAGCTTGAGCTGAAGCGTCCTGTTTGCGTCTCTAAGATTGGTAATCTCTTTCTCAAGCGCACCTTGCGCTGCGTTTGCCTCGGCTTTCGACTCTTTGTATTTCCTCTGCTAAGTGTCAGCCATCGTCGCGATCCTACGGAGCCGCAGGCAAGGGTGGTGTAGAGGGAAATAGCAATTGTACCTTCCACTCTTCCACCTCGTAGTTCAAACCCTCCGCCTTTTGCCTCAGCGCCCGTTCCCGCTTGTCGGCAGCATCCAGGTCCTTCTCGAGTTCTGCTTCCAGCTCCTTGCTCGACGCCTGAAATTCCGACAGTTCATGTTCGAGCAGCTCGTATTGCGCTTTATACCAGGCCAGCTGTTCCTCCGTACTAGCCCCGGCACTTAGGGGTGATGACGGCAATTCAGACATTGGGGTTGTTTACGCGACGGCGTGCTCCGCTTCGCAATCTTGCATGTGGAAGAGTAATGCTAGCGGAAATGACGGGGAATCGTGTCGCTGGCCGGCGAGACAAAAACGAGGCGAAGCCGTATGTAACGATCCGTTATCGCAAATTAACCGAGCAAGCTCATGGGGACGGAAGATTGTAGCGTGGTCGTTGTCGTTCTCGGATGCGATTCTCTGGCCAGCCTAGTCAACCTACGGCATTTCGCCGCGAGCGCAACGATAACGTACCGACCGGTGTCGCGAATTCGGGCGTCGCTGAAATACTGTCTCCCCGTCCTCGGTGACGGAGTGTGTCGTCGATTCGCAGCACGCGGTTGACCTACTTACCTATTGCGCGGCTGTTGTCGTCGTTTGTCGATCCGTTGTCGTTGGTGTTGTAGGAGCGAGGTTCCGCTTTCTGGCGGAGGGTGTTTTCCTTGGCGCTGCTTGTCTGTCACTCTCCTTGCGGTCGCATGCGCTAATGGCGCCCTGGCAACCGTGCTCGAGTGGGGCTGTCTTGGCACTGGAACCCTTAATGCACGCAAGGACCTCGAAAAAATGCAAATGCAATCCCAACACTCTTTGTACCTCCGTAACGTTACCTTTGTTCAAGCCTGGAACTCAGAGAATGCAGGTCGCCGGGAAATGGACTCTGTACGTACATGCTGTGTTGGCCGGCGTGCCCGTCTAGCAGTACGGAGTAGAATCTTCCTCTTTTTTGATCTGCGACAGGGACCGCCCACATTCTGGATCGGCATAAACGAATACAGTGTCATCAATCATCAATGCAGCCGGACCACGTCACTTCCATCACGCCAGGCTTATTATGCTGATACCTCGTAGAGCATCATGATCCGAGAGCATCGAATAATAGCCCAGTCCCACCCCTATGGACCCTCAATGGGAGTTTGAAACGAATTGGCAGTTGCAAATATTCTTATTGCTATTACTTTTCCATGTTATACCCACTGGCAGTACTCCCGCGAGTCCCGCTCTCGTCTTTCGGTCCAAGGATGGCCAGTACCGTATCAGTATACCTGCTACGATTGAGCATCGACACAACCCCTTGAAGCCTCCTTTTGATATCTTGTGTACGGAGTATCTGTCGCATATCATGATTGATGATGGAACCTGGAGATTACATACATTCCACCCGGAGCAGCTCTTTCCTTGATGTGGACGAGCTGTCCTGGGCAGAATTGGCGGTTTTGTCCTGCTCGAGGCTCGAGATCGCATTTTGAAGGTTGGTATACAACACAAGCAATATTCATCTAACGTTGTTGATCATAGCATGATGTAGCCGAACTATCACAACTCCCTTCTATCGATGCAAACCGATGCCCGCTATATCCGCATTCTACAGCCTGTACTCCGGACCCTGAGTCCTCGCAAACTCCATGCCCGCAGCAAAATGGAACAGCTTCGCAGCCACAACGGTCCTTTCACGCTTGCTGTACTCCACCAGCCTCTCGTACAGCTCCGACAGGGGCACCACGACGCGCTGGATGTGCTCGCCGTCCTCGAGGCGCTGCTCGGGCAGCTCATCCCCCTCACCCAACCGGACTTTCACCATGACGAGCTTCATGTTGGCGCTGCTCAGGCCCGGGTCGGCCGCCTGCACGGGGCTGACGCTGACCACCTCGCAGTCGTAGCCCGTCTCCTCACGGAACTCGCGCACGGCCGCCTGCTCGGGCGTCTCCCCTTCGTCGACCAACCCCGCGGGCCACTCGACCGTGTAGGCGTCGAGCGGCGGGCGGTACTGGATTACTAGGATCGTGCTGGCCGGCCGCGAAGGGTGCAGCAGCACGTTGCCCATGGCCACGGCGTCGATCCCCGCTGATGAGGCTCGTGTCTTGCGCGCCGCTACCTCCCACGTCCGCGGTGTCCCTGTCTGGTCGATGTACGAGACTTTGCGGAGCGTGATCCATTTTGCTTCCGAGGTTGGCAGGTCGGTGACTGAGGTGATTACTGGTTCTTGGGTTTTGTGGAGTGTCATTTTGGCTGTGGGTTTGGCGGCTGTGGACAAGGGCTGGAATAGGCGATGTGAGAAGTAAAATGCGGTTGAGGTTGAGGTTGAGGGGCAACAGCTGAGGTTGGCTCGGATTGGGATCAGAAAGCAGCGGCGGGCGGGGCGAAAGGACAGAATGCCCCGCATGAGATGGCTTGAGTGATTGAGTCTGAGGGCTGACCGGAGGAATTTCCGCTGGCAACCCGGAAGCAAGCGAAAGGAACGAAAAGTAGGTAATCGACCCAGAATCCAAATGAAGAATGGCAGAAGTTGTGCTGAAAGCAATTGCATTTTCGAAGTAACCGAAACCAATTCAGAATGCGCGCAGCTGTATCCATAAAGGGATGACATCATATTTCAAGGGCGGGCTTGAGATGGGAACACCTTCAAGTTGTTTGCCAGATATCCCAGCACCCTGGTACTTCGCTAACTCACACTATTCATGGTAGGTAGGGTTCGAATAATACTAGTCGTTAGAACCATGGAAACGAGTATCGTGTACTCTAGTCGAATCCATGAGTCGAATCCATGATACCGGGTCCCCGGGACGGTGACATTCATAAGTCTGCTCCAAATACCTACCGACAAGGAGGCCATGGAAAGAAGCTCGTGTGAAACACTGCCGACGTATATTTGTGTTCTATATGCAATATCCAACCCCTAGACAAAACTTGCTTCGAGTAGCAAATACGGCTGATATAACGTCCTACCACGATCTCCTCCCGGTAACCAAGTCCATCTCCTCCGGCCTGACCCGCTTCGTCTTCTTGACGTACTTCCACCACAGAATATTGAGCACGTAGACCGGTATGCCAATGTACGAGGTCATGAACTTGTCGATCTGGAAGCGAGGAATAAATGCAGAGTAGCCGCTGAATATAATGACCAGGATAGTAATCAGCAGCGCAGGGTAAGCGGCCCATGGGAGCAAGGGGTTTCGATATGGCATGACATCCCGTGAGACGTTTTGCACCTTCATCGCCCGGATCATGGCAATGTAGCTGACTAGCACCGCCACCCAGTTCAGCGCGCCGAACACGGTCACGAGCGAGACAAAGTAGCCGAAAACGGTGGCGGAGCTTTTGGAGGCATTCATGAAACCGAGGGCGATGAAGACGGAGGAAAGAGCCACAGCGGGGATGGGAACGCCGCGTTTGTTCGTGCGTTGCATGAGCTGAGGGGCCTGGCGATCCTTGGCTAGCGCCCAGACGGTACGAGACGCCAGGTAAATGTCTGAGTTTGCTGCGCTGATGGTGAAAACAAGCAGCAGACCGTTGACAGCATCGGCCAGCCCCTTGACACCGGCGATCTCGGCCGCTACAACGAATGGGGATGCCACTAAAGGGGCCGTTAGAATTGGACGTTTCCCACTATCAGTATGATATCGGACAGGGCGGGAACCTACAGCCGCTGGTACCCTTCGAGGTTGCCTCCAATAGCTTCGGATGGTTGTAAGGGACGGCCATGCCGAGTACCAAGACGCCGGCAATGTAGAAAAAGACGATGCGCAGGAGCGTTTGGTTTACGGCTCGCGGAACGTTCTTGCGCGGGTTCGGCGTCTCGCCAAAGGCCACCCCAACGAGTTCGGTGCCGAGGTAGGCGAAAGTAGCCTGCACGATGCAAGCCCAGACACCCAGGAAACGACCAGTGCCGTCGGGAATAACGGTCGTCTGTCCACTGAGCGAGACAAAGTACTGGCCGAAGGCGCCAGGGTTCTCCCAAAAGTAGAACCCGGAGCGAATGCCAGAAGGGCTCCCGCCAAGTGAAATTATGAAGCAGAGTAGAATCAGGGTCACGATGACGAGGGCTTTGATCAGCGACATCCAGAACTCGGCTTCTCCGAAGAACGAGACGTGAATAAGCTGCCGAGGGGCATCTGTGTCAGCCCATCCTGAATGGCACTTGTACTTGGGGAGGTGGGTGACGCACGTTTAAAAGAATGATGGCCACGCCGAATACGACGATCCAAACCGACACATTGAGATTCGGCAGCCAATACGACAGGAGGACGCCTGTGGCCGTCAGGTTGTTGGGCAGCACGATAACATACTTGAAGAAGTAGTTCCAGCCGGTCGCGAACCCCATGGCCGGGTCCACGAAGCGTGAGGCATAGCCCGAGAAGCTCTTCTTGTGCGGCAGCCAGGCGCCCATCTCGCCGAGGGCAACCATGACAATGTAAACAACGAATCCCATTAGGGCATAGCCGATTAACAGCGAGCCAGGACCGAATTTGAGGGCCGTCCCCGTGCCGATGATGAGGCCTGCGACGAAGTAAAGTCTGTCAGCCTCCCGAGACGGCTCATACGGGCAAATGCGAGCTTGGATCCAAGAGTTGCTCGTTTCTTACCTGTACCGATGGCGCCAGCAATGGCCATCATGTCTATCGCACGGGTTGTTCTTATCAGTATGCGGCTCAGATGCGCAGAACAGATGGAAAGGCATGATGGACGTACTCAGCTGCCTGGGTTTCATCCCTCTGTGCAGGTCGTCCTTGACTTCATCATCACCCCCTTCCTCGTAGTCCCCCGCCGCCACATCCTGCACGGGCGGGGGAGTGTCAGCCTTCTTCTCATCGTCTGGAGACGTTTTTGACGAAAACCAAGCCATCGCGCAGTGAGGTCAGTCGGCTCTGCTCGGTCGCTACCCTTGTGTGCGATACACCCCGCAAGGAGCAGGAGAGCTTGGGAGAAACGGGAAAAGAAGAGAGGAAGGGTGTTAAAGAGCTTGCGTTTACCCCGACATGATCTGCGGGGAGGAAGGGAGCAACCAACATGTAAATAACCATACGGGACTGGGGCAAAAGGACCCCATGCATGCGAGCACGCGATAAGGTATTATTGTAGCCGACTGGCGTAAGCTGTTAAGGTTGCAGTTGCATTCGGTGTGTCAAAATGGAAAATTAGGAGAACCCCGGGCTTTTGGGGATCGACAGATGACGGCCGAGCGGGCGGTGTTGGTGCCGACAGTGGCCAGTCACGCATCTCGAACCGCGGATACCTGAATCCTGATCCATCAGCAACCAGTAGCTTAGGTACTTCCTACCCTAAGCCCCATGGTACTGCCCATTAGTTAGGCATTCTTCCGGCCAGGGCAAGGCTCATATTCGAATCAGTCAATCTCGATCGAGTCGATCATGCTCCGATCAACATTGCCGAACCTGTCTGCCCGAAGCCCTGCTCCAGCCTCCAGCATATCTCGCACTGAGATATGCACCTAGCCATCTGATTAGGGCAGGCCCACAATGTATTATGGATCCATGTCTGTGGATTCGGAGGATGAGGAGCGCATATCATTCTGTAGACAACGAAGCCTTGAAGCATCCCGTCCTTCACCAATTCCACAAACAGAAGGTCCTCCGGGATATCTTTGGCTGTGCACTTCTTGGCATTGGGAGAAAATCAAGCTCAACGAAGTCAGGCTTGGCTGAAATGGCGCAACTTGGCAAGAGGAAGCCGCGACGGGGGGAGCGTTGGTCGAGACCCGCTTGGCGACGGCAGAAGAGATAAGCGTCCTTGGCCGCGCAGTGAGTGGGGCCCAGTGTGGACCTGCCAAGTCGCTAGAATGCGCTAAATTTCGGCGAGGGCCCCGACAGCTGGGCTCCCCAACTCCCAACGCCCAACACGCCTTCCACCAATTTCAGAATGTTGTCACGGGGTCACAACGGCCTTGGAAGTGTCCGGATTCAAGATACAGACACCTCAACCATCTACATACCATAGCTGCTCGTCAAACATGAACATATCGGTTCTACTGCACCATGGCCCTGGTCCTTGACCGGCGTCGTTCGGCGTTTACCACTGGCAGTTTTGATGATCTTCGAACACTCTCAGCTTCATAGCACGCGCTGCGGGTACACCATCTCCAAATGATCTATTCTCCGAATACTAGGTAGTATTGATTGTCGCCAGTTTGCTATGTCCACTACCTCATACTGGTCGCTAATGGCTATCGTAGTCTTGTTGCGATCCACGCCCACCCCGCCACAGACTATCTACAACCTACGGACTCTCCAGACCCTCATCTTCCCAGAGCGCCTAGACACGTCTGAGGTCCCTTATCCAGCCCGGCTCTTCTTTTGTTTCCTCAAACTGCCTGCTCATTTTGCACCCAGCGAGCATCAGGAGGTTCCTTGCAGGTAGAGCTCTGGCGGGGACAAACGGGATCGTAATCACCTTCCCGTTTCTGTCCAAGCTCGGTCTGCCGTTCGGCAACATTATGGGACCCCGGAACTCTCCAAAGTGCTCGGGAGTCCAATCGGATTCCGTGTAGAGGTGGGCTTCGTAGACCATCATGTCGTGGACGAAGCGCAACGCCGAGATTGCGAGCTTGCTGTACGGCTGGCTGGTTCCGTCGGGGTAACGCCTGGGGTTCTTGAAGTGTCTGTACGCAGCCTCGCAGATTGCCAGCACAGCTGTCCTGAACATGGGGACGGGGATGTCGCTGGCCCACGGGACACGTGCTCGGGCTGCGTTCCAGACGGCATTGTCCATGCGGCAACTGTCCAACATCCAATCTCTCTCTTCATGGCAGGCGTCGAGCAGGTCCAGGAATCTGTTATGGACGATCTGGCTCACGCTATTGCCAAGGCGAGGGTCGTTGAGGTTGAGTTGTTGTTTAAGAAACGTAGTGTCGATTTCTTTCTCGAGCATCTGCATTTGCAGCGGACTGAACCACAACCCCAGCTGGCTGTCCAGCTGTTTTTTTAGGCCCTTGATCTTCCGAGGCATCTTGGTGACGAAAAGAATGAGTAGGGCACCGTGTGTACCTTAAGGTAGTCGACTTGACAGTTGGTCAAAGTCAGGGAGGTCTCGAGATGTTCAAGTCACAGCGTCGGCGTCGCTCTCGTTTCTCAGGTACTAAGAAGACTCTTATTGGCGGGAAGCAGTTTCCAGGGGAAAGATGAAAATGCAAGTAAGCAGGTGCAGGGAGGATAGATGTGGAAGAGTCTGCTGGAATGTTTCGAGGAAGAGATTGCGAGAGAAAATGGAATATATAGAGCGATAGTCCCGGCAAAAGGTCAAAGAGAAGCATCAGTCTCGTCGCGCCTTAGACCTTGGGTCATCCTAAAGTCGTTAAAAGGAGGCAAAGAACAACACATAGGGCAAAGACTGATAGAGAAAGAAGTTTGAAAGCAATTGTGGATGAGCTGAAAGTTGCACGAGAGCTACTAGGGATTCAGGTAAGCTGTCGAGGGGAGGTAAACTGTGAAAGGTTTGGTAGCATGCGGTATCTACTACATCACCATGTCAGTGTATGAAAGTAAGTGAGCAACTATATGAAATGTCTCAGCTAGGACATAACTATCTAAGGCAGTGTGGGAGAAAGAGGCATATCTATAGCCTTGATAAGCACCCCTAGACTCTAGTTAACAACTGTCATAAGAGTTGAGCAGGCATGGGGTAGGAAGTTAGATAGGTGGTTATATACACGAACTTACCTTAACCTGGAAAAATCCAGCTGCCAGATGCGCGGAACTGCAACTACAAAGTAGATTCGAAGAGGCAACAATCGATATAGACTTGAAAGAAGGGCCAAAGGCGCAAGTCCTGGCAAGCACCTCCAACCCTTCACTGAGTAACCCTAACCCCTTGCCATGCTGCAGCTGTTGCCAACTGGCTTTCAGTCAACCTTTTGACAACAAAATTTTGAAGCCTTCATTCAACGGTTTCAACCACACATTACATTCAAGTCACACATAAGTGATGGGCCCTAGGTGCGTGCTGTGATCGGGCGACAGCACACCCGCATTGTTATGGCTCGATATCATACAAAGTTCCTACTAAGATGACATCATCGGGGCTTCATTCACTCGAAGACTCCTCCTCTGCTCCGCACATGCAGTTGACGACCGAAACCGGCGGCGAAGCCAGCACGACACAAGTCAAAGATCAGGCTTTGGAGGGAACCTCGCTTGATGAATGCATAGAGTCTCTAATCACACAATGGCAGATCTGTATCGATGAGTTGCACAGACTACAGCAGTTGGCCGAAAACTCTTGCAAACCCGTCCGAGGACTCAGCGCCCTATTGAAGGTGCAGCAACGCGCCCTAGATAAAGTCGTGCAGAAACGGAGCACACCATCGGCGTCAACAACTATTTCTCCTGCCCAGTATTTTGGCATCAAGAGTTGCTGCTGGGAAGACAGGTGGACCGTCGTCAAAAAATGCCGCGGCCTCGTGGCTATCAACAAGGAGTTTCCACGCAGCCCTCGTCTTCCTGTCGGTCCGGACGAGGGCTGGCTCGACTACAAGGATCAGCCGTTCCAGGAGAAGACCGTGGCCGTGGATGCCGTCGTTGACAGCGGAGCGACCTGGATCAAGTTTATCTCAATATCGCCAAAGAGTTTGGAATACCAAGTCATGGCCGAAGGATGGGCGAGTGAGCCCGAGGAAAGCGATGATGAAGGCCAGGATTGGTCAGCAGAGGGACTCGGCAATACCGAGTTTGCCGACACGGTCAAGAAGATTGTCCTGGCTGCGCGATGGAACCACTGCCACCGCCTGCACCTAATCCTCCCGGGGCTTCAGGAGGGCAAGTCTGCAGTTGTCGATAATATGATCAACTACCTCCGCCATCGGATCGGCGGACAAGACGTCTCAATAGATGTCAGCTGCGCTGGCAGTCACTTCCTCACGGAACCGCCCCCTCCTCTTGACAGTGCTCTCTCCGCATTGGTCCATGAACGCGATCCGCTCGTAGCTGACGATCGTGGCCGCTTGACTGAGACTCTCAACCTCGACCCGAGCGCCCTGGTTGCCCTTGTGACCGACCTCCACCACGGACCGGTGCCCCTGCAGCCGGTATCGCAGCAAAAGATCATCGCCCGGTCGATCCTCGAACACGAGACCGACAACAACGAGCTTGTCGCGCGCCAAGACATACTGGCTACCATCCTGTACCCGGCCTTGCGAGGGCGGAAGCTGGTCTGCACTCGGCTGGCGGCGAACTACTTCCGCAAACTGATCGACGCCATCTCCACGCACTCTGAAGAAGTGCGGGCGGGGTTTATCCTACCATGCACTTCATCGTCCGAAGACGGCTTGGACTCATCACCAGCCCAGCTGCGTCAGAGGCTCCAAGAATGGTCCAGCGTGCCTGTCCCAGAAAACCTGCACCTCCCCGTGGGAATAGTCGACGACGTTGACATTCCCGACGTCGATCTCCTCGTAGCAGCCGGTCAGCTCCCGCCCATGGCGCGGGGCGTGGCCCGCGACCTCTCCCCGCTGAACCGCTCCGTGTACTGCTACGGCTGGGCGCACCGCTTGACCACCGTCACCGGCCACCGCGGCATTGAGCGACAGGTCCGGCTGTCGCTGGCCAGGCACTGGACGCGCCATGGGAACGACGAGCTCCCCCCGGATATCTGGCACCGGCATCTCGGCGGGTACCTGATCCACCGCGACAAGCCCAAGGATTGGAGAGGTATGATACCAGACGGGGAGGAAGTTCCGAGCGAGGTTGTGCGCTGGACCAACCCGTGGACCACGTGGGGGAGGGGGATTAGTACGTATGGACTGCCGGATACTAAGACGTGGGAGGGGGTTGGGCACGAGGAGAAGACGAGCTATGGGAGGAGGATGAGTGGACGGGAACAGAGGAGCGGTGGTGCCAGCTCTGCAGGTGCATTGGAAAGGACTGCTGAGGATGAGGACGAAGAACAATCTTGACGCGGCGCTTAGAGGGAAGAGAAAAGAATCCAGTCTTGGGTATATTGCGGAAAACATTATACTAATATAGCAAAAGTCAGGCTCCAACCGCCTGCAAGCAAACTCAACCTCCTCCATTACGGTATCCCCATATTGCGCCCTAGAACAGCCACGTCAGTGAATCGCCCGACCAACCTTCCATCTAGGAACGGTACTTACCCCTTCCCTGCGCGCGCACAACAGCAGGTACTAACTCTAATTCACAACGGGCTGCGCGGTAATGGTCGTCGTCGTGATCCCCTTGGCATCCAAGCTCGGGGGCTCAGTACTAATAGCAGTACTGGTATTCGCCGCCTCCTTGTCCATGGGCTTGTCAACCACGCCGGCGGCCTCGCTGTCGACAGCCCCAGCCCCGGCCTTGGCCTCCTGAACACTATCATGCGGGCGCCGTTCGTCATCATCGTCGTCGTCGTCGACAAGCTTCCTGGCCTTGGGCTTCATCTTGAGGCACTTGAAGAGGGTCTTGACCAGGTTGGCGGCCTTTTTCAGCGGGGAGGCGCCCTTGAGCTTTTTGGGCTTGGTCTCGGTCGCTCCTGATTCCGCCTGCTTCTCATCGGCCGCAGAGCCAGTTTGTTGCTGTGTCTGGTCGGTGTTTTGGTGTTCCAGCTGCGAGAGCTGGTCGGGCTTTGCTGCTTCAGCGGACATGGTGGGTGACTTGAGGGGGTATGATGTTGTTGCTTGTCTGTTGGATGCTCGACAGAACTGGGTTCAGGGCAGTATTTCAGTTGAACTGCTGAGGCAACCTGATGCCAGGGACCGGATTGCAGCTGAGAAGACGTCTTTGGACAGTGACACGCGGCACCTTGGTTGGAACAGCAAGACTCGAATGATCAGTTCCAGCAGGGACGAGTGCTATTTATTTACACGCCCGATGCTGTCTGCACCGCAATCTTGTTGAAAGTTGAAACATAGTTTTTCTCCAGTCTGGGCATGGCTTCGAGATTGCGCGGTGCCGCAAGGGCCCTGAACTGGGTCGACTCCCATCTCGTTTGTCTGCCAAGCGGCGACTATCGCGATGTCAATATGCCAAGGCTAATGGTCGCGGGGCCGGGCCGCAATGGGACAGGGATCTCTCGGACGTTGCTGGGCGGATCTTGCTTTGGCTGGAAAAGGGGCTGCTCAAACGGAATCTGATTGATGGGTTATTCCGTGGAATTGCGGTTGGCAAACAGAGCTTTGAGCCTTTGACATGTTTGGCGTGGTCTGCTTGGGTCGATGCAGTGACCACACGGCACAAGCAGCAGCTTATGTACTATGTAGCAGCTAGACCTTGCAGTCAGCGTTCCTCAACTATCTGCAGGTTAAGTTACCTGCCAAAAGCTCCATGGGCGGGACGGCTCCAACGCCAAATCAAGGGCCAGGATTAAACCTTTGATGAGATGTTTGAATCAAGAGTATGGGAGTACGTAGCCACAGCAGGCGCATGAAAAAGTGGGGAACTGAGCTCAACAACAATGTTCGGTTCCAGGTTCCATGGAAATTGCTGTCAGGATTCTCGGGCTCCTGGCGAAGAGAATCCAAGCGTATGTACTGTACTGTATAACTATGTGGTCGCTTCACAAATAAGGTGATCTATGTAGGTAATCACGAACAATGCGACGTCGAGGCGTACAGTCTTTGACAAGGGCTTCAGTGCATATACGCCGTAGATGGTAAACATACCTGCCGCTCGTTTCAGTTCAAAGCCTCGTGTTAGGTACATTTCAATGACATTGATAGGTCCTCCTAAAAGGGGGAGGGAAGTGCAGTGCAAATGCTCCACTCAGGTGGACTCGTGCTCCGCCCCATCAACCCGGGCATTGGAGGTTGTTGAGTAGGGATAGGAAATTTCCATCACGGCTTCGAAATTCGGAAACTGAAAAATGGCTCTTGAGTTTTGGAATTTCCGCCATTTCAGCTAACCGCTTTTGGAAGGCAGTAAGCCTACAAGGGTTAGAGTTATGTATGTCCAGCCACCTGTATCTTCTTCAACCGACCCTGTTGCTGGGCTCTTGACTCCCCTGATCCAAAGCCATTTTGAAGATATTCCTAATCCTCAGAGGAAATGCCCCT